CCTCCCTTTAAGTATTTGTAAGTATTAATAAGATCCCCCCTCAATCTTCTTTTCTCTAGACTAAAGAGACCCAAGTCCCTCAGCCTTTCCTCATATGAGAGATTTTCCAACCCCCTAATCATCTTTGTATCCTCCCAGGAAAGGATTTCTCATCTCTTGCATTCCGGTACTCTGACAAAACAGTATATGATTGAAAATGCTTCTGCACTGTGTTCTGCAAGGACTGGCACCTGTACATCATTACTACCACACATGAAGTATACATATAGTGCAGTAAAGCACCTGCCATATCAGCAGTGTCTCTGAAGAGGATGAACTGATAGTTTTCTTGCACAGCCACCCTTATCATTTACTCAATGAAGAAGAAGCAAAAACCTCTGGCATCACTTTTTGCCCTGAATGCAAACTAGAATCAGAATGTAACTCTCTAGGATTAAACGTACAGGCTGCTAAATATTCATTAAATTATCTGACCATTACATTAAAAATAAACAGCCAAACAACAACAAACAAAAAATACCATCAAAACCATTTCCCCCACAAACAGGGGCAATAGTCTACATAGCCTACAAGCATTCACTTCTTTTAACAACTTAATGGTTTTAGCTGGATATTGAGAAAACAGAAGTCTGACAAGCACTTCAGTGTCCCTGATGCAGAAAACAGATACTTCGCCAACACAATCCTATTGAGGAAGACTAATTCCTAAACTAAAGAATAGAATTAGAAATTGTATGATTATATTCATTGATTTTGTCATACTCCTGCTGGAAAACACTAAAGAATTAAATCAAGCTAAATTTGCTCTCCTGCAAACGAAAATGCTGTAAAAACCCTCAAAAGGCCAGTTCTGCAACAAACACTGAACTAAGAACTAAAGACATTCAGTGCTGTAGTAATCCTTTGCACCTATGCAGGACTGATTACCACTCTGAGTAATGGTACACTGTACCTGCAGTGTAACATCTATCTTTGCAAGAAGCAAAGAAATGGCACAGTAAGCATATAGCTTCAGACATTTCCTGCAATAGTAATAATAATACATTATTATAGCCTGCATAGTACAGCACCTACTTAAAAAGAGAAAAAAACAAAACAAAATGAAAAAACAAATCCAAACATTCCATTCTTGTTAATATTAAACACCTGGGAATTTTTGCTGTTTAGGTTACTACTACTGCTTTTAAATTGTGTAGAATTACATTTGCATCTAGCTGTATTTTTACAGTCATAACGCAAGCTATTGATTGTTTAAATCATTTTACTCATGACTTATATTAACACAGCAACAGATCTGTTTAAAGTGTGTGTAAATACATGAAGAAGCATTTGGCAGATGACTATTTTAGATTAAAGTCTCTTGCTTCAGCTTTCCATGCAGATAATGCACGGTCCCCAAACTGTACCAACCAGCAGGCAATATGCTCTGGGCAACATCATACTCTGGGCTCTCTAATTCCACCCTTACTTTTTAATGCCCAGTGGCAGGAAATGCACAGTAATGGCAGAACAAGGACTACCCCTTTCAGGATTCATAATCAAACCAAAATAACTAGAACCTTAAAATAATTTTCTAAGTGTTGTACTATCTCAAAGTAGAGTGAGGACCATCTAGCTATCTGCAAAACACACTTTTCCCATGGTGCTACAGAGTTTCTGTCCTCAACTCCTTAGCGGATAGATGCTTCAGATTGATTTTTAGCACCTGATGAAACAGAAACAAACAAGATTCCTTCACTGAAGAGGATTAACAAGAGAAAAGAACATGGGGAGAGAAGAGACAGGTTAACACGAACAGGATCACATGCGTTATCCCAAAGGTTAATGCATGACATGAAGGAGAGACAGTTATTTTAAGTACCTAAATAAAATAACTTTTTGGTGGATTATTTCATTGTAACACTGTTTGAAAACAGAATGAGATTACAGAGTACGTCCTGTAAATTAGCTCAGGAAAGACACAGTGAGTAAGAATTACAGGAGCACATCTGACCACTGGATTGTAGCAAAAGCAGAAAGTGGAATGATGGCCGACATTGCCTAGGGGCTGAAGAGAAAATGAGCACAAGAAGTTGAAGCTGATGATGCAAGGGAGGGAGATCTGTGAGAATGATACATCCAAAATTTAGCAGCTACATTTTCTGTCCTGGAAGCTTCAAAATCAGAAGCCAGGAAAGATAAACAGGAAGTTGTAACACTTAATAGAGACAATAAGGTGAAAATTGATTTTTTTTTTTTCTCCTTGCGAACAGATAATATGAACAGGATAGTCATATAAATAGAAGAAAAAAACCCCAACAGCATGTTTGAGAAGATGGTTTGGATACTGAAAGGATGCATAGAGGTGTTGAAGAGGTGTTTTAAGATATGGGCTGAGTGGGAAGAAACGTTCACCTGCAACAGAGCAAAGGGATGAAGGAAACTGGGAAAAAACTTACTAAATTACATTTGATTGTGATTAATCTGGTTTGACACAACAGTTTTCAGGATAGCTGTGAAAGATTAAGCATGAGATACGGGGCGGGACAGAGACAAATGTATAAACGGAAGAAGCAGGTGCTATCTGATGAAATGATACCACCTCTCAGTATGATATCAACAGAAAAAGGAGAGAAGGGGAAGACAGCCCTGAATCATTCCCTTTAGAGACAGAGTAGAGGGAGGTGGTCACACACTGCAAACCAAAAAGGCTAGTTTGGTACAAGTAGTAATACTGAGATCTACCAATAAACTTCTTAGCACGATGCTCCATCCAACTTGTGTAAACAAGGACTTAGCTTTCATTACAGGCGCTAAATCAATCAGAATCAGCTCTGGTATCCGTATGCAGCACTTCACTGTGTCACGCTGACATTCTATGTTTTAAAGAATAAGGTGAGGATGTAGGCAAAGAATCAAGAAAAAAACAGCACCACTAATCCCAATTAAGAGGGCACAGAGAGGGGAGAGGACTAGTTTAACGAATCACTTCAAATACAACTAAGCAGTTAAAAAAGATGAACACAGACTATGGGTCTAATGACCTTGTATGGAAGGAGACATCAGAAACCCTGGTAAAAACTGCTCCACTGAATTGCAGGGTGATGTGACAGACGTAGATGGGAGGAGAAAGTAAGAAAGCAGTTAGTGTGGAGACGGTGAACTTGGAGGTGAGACAATACAGACAACAGGAATAGCAGGTGTTTAGACAACTGAAGTCTACAGTCAGCTACTTCTGGAGAATGAGGAAAGCCGAGCTTGCTTGTTACTTGTATGGGCAATGAAGGAGAAAGAAAGGACTATGAATATATGAATAAAGACTGACAAGCATGAGAGTAACAGAGTATCACGAGATTCCCTTGTAGACAAAATGAGGATGCCACGTAAGGCAAGAACGCAAAACCAACCACAGAAGTCTTTCGGAATCAGGAGAGAGGGTGGAAGTGAAGGAAGTTGGCAAGGATTCCAGCAAGGGACTCTGAAAGGGTTTTATGAAATTGCTCCTGTGATTAATGTACTAGGAGAAGTAAAGAACAGCATAGTGAACAGTTTATTTGCATCTTTTGAAGGAGAAGGGAGTTCCAGGAGATCACTGCAGTGACTTTGCATTTTGTCAAGCTAAAAACAAAAAAAGCTAATACCCAAGAACAGCTATTAGGAAATAGTGCATTCTATTAATTAAAAAAATGAAAAATCAAAATCTGTTATTGAAGGAGTATCACCACCTGGAGAACACTACCATTGTAATCTCCTGTCAGGACACAGAAGATTTGAAAATTTTTGCCTTCAGGGCTGTATAGCTTAGACCTAAATCAACTCGGTTAAGCACATCCAGCTGTTCAGAATCAGTATTTTTCAACAAGCACAGATCCTAAGACTACTCTAGGAAACATTGACCTACATGCTACACATAATCCAAATTACTATTTGAAAAAATAAAACCCCAAGTTGGATGTACCTGGGCAGGATCATGATCAAATCTTATGCAGCAAATTAACACCATGAAGAAAATTATCAGAAATAGTCTGTGAGGGTACAAATACACATGATGATAGTAGGCAGAAAGATACTCACTGAATCCTCGTCTTGAATCATCTGAACTAAATTATCAAGTACTGGAGTGAGATTTCTGAGGGAAGAAAAGTTAGGAAGACGATGAAATCAGCAGCTTCTCCTCATCCATTCTCTTGTTATTAAAAAGAAATAAAAGCCTTACTTGGATTTCATGTTGTTAAAGTTTTTGCCTAATGCCAAGTGTCTTATCGATCGGTTTTTACTAAGCCAGACTACAAGGGTTGAGAGGTCAGATTCTAGGCCTGTAAAGAATCAGATTAGATTAAGAATTAAAACACATTTTCACAAAAGACCCAGACAGGGTCCAATTATTAATGCTGTATTTATTCAAGTAACTATATCAGTGTACTAATGTCCAAGAGCTCTAGAAAAATTTCCATTCTTCTATTTTTAAATCTGTTCCTCTTTTCTGCCTCTGTTTTTCTCTGAGAATAAATGCTTTCTCTAAAGCCCTTTTAAATCTCCGCCTAATCAGCCATTGAGGCCACTTCTCAGAAACACAGAAGAGAAACATAGTCCCTTATCTATAGTCCAACCACCCAAGGGTAGCTCCTCACATGGCCAGGCAGGGTTTAAAGTTCTTTTGAGAATTTTGAGACCACATTAATTACTATTTAGTCTTAGTACAGCTGTGTACCAACAAGGTCTCGAAGCCTTCAAGTGCAAAAAGGCAAAGGCAACAGGCTATGAATAAAATGACCTGAAAAACAAGACAAATTTTATTCTGCCCCTGAATAACAAAAATAACTTGCTGTAGTATTGTATTCCCAAACTAGTGGTGTATTTGAAGAATCCTCTAGTTAGATTACAATGACTTAGGATCCAGATCCACAGGATAATTTCGCTGCCAAATATCTATTTATAACAATCAATCTGTTTACATAATTGGACTGAGTCAGGAGCTCCCAAAGCTTTCCACTTGCCAATCCATCCCACCTTTCTTGGGCATTCAACTGTACTAGGAATCTCTTTCTGAAATACTTCTGCATTTGGCTGTCAGAGGGGCAAACACAGCAGGTGAATTCTTCTATTTCATACGCCTACAATTTGAGTTTTCAAGATGAGAAGCCAGCTGGTATTCCCAGCACAGAGCCTCCAAAGCAGCAATAGTCTAAGACTTTTCAAAAAACTCAAACAGGCTTCTCTGACCTGAAGCTGGTTCACCATTTGCTCCAAATTTCCCCCTCTTGCTTCTTCAGTATTAAAACCTGAGCTTCATTCTGTATCTAGCCTTCCCTTTCTTTTTTTCAATACATTTGTCGTTTAGCTTCTCATCCTCTTGTACTTAAACCCACTTTCCTCTAGATCTAATATGACGCTTGCTACCGTCAATTTATTCTGCTGTGTTACATTTATCTCTAACATCATAAACTTCTGAAGGTACAGTTAGTTTACAAACATTTCTTATATACTTTATAGCAATAAGAGTTCTTGGTCCAAGACATTTCCATAACCAATATGGCCAATAATCATAAAGCAAGAGTGACCATCCTTGGTTACACTGTGAGCTGAAAGAGAAAGTGTTTCTCAGATTCTGGACTTGCATGAGCCTCTATTCCTGTTCTGTGTACTTACCATTGTCTGAAATATCTAGGCTGGTGATATTGTGTATTTCTGCTATGCATCCTTCCAAGACTTGTGCACCTCCCGATCTTAACTAGAGACAAAACATGATCCATTTTTGCAAACTAGTTATGGTTTCAAGATCACACAGAAAACAGTGGTAGGAGCTTTGTGAATACAGAAGGCACTACCAGCAGCAAAAACAACAGCAACAAGAAGTTACCGACATCAACATGAGAGCCTATGCAGACTCCGACTATTGTCATCCTTCACTCTCGCTATTTGCATATAAATGAAAAAAGGGACTCTCTCTCCTTTCTCTTAAAACTACTGCTCAGGACGTAAATCAGGGAAAGATTTAAATGGTGCAGACAAAACAAATCCTTTAGCACTTGTGCCAGGCAGTGACTGCAAGACTTTGGAGTGGGTTCTGTACATGAAAGGGCCAGGACATTTCCAACATCCAGTGAGAAAAAAAAAAATCAACATATCCTGGCCTAGAAGCATGCAACTCTATCACCCTTGAATTCCACTACAGTCAAGGCTTATAGTGAGCATCTTCTTTCAGCTCCTAGCAAAATGCTAGGGTGCCTAGAACAAAGACGAGTAGCAAATAAATAAGAAATAAATATCAATGAAATTATGTTTCCCTGTCACTGAAAAGAAAATTTAAATAATCCAATTATAAAATAGCCACAAAAAGACCATAAACAAGAGAAATCAGTAATTTACCTTATTCTTAATTTAAAAATAGGCATAAAAGAGGAAAAACAGCAACAATAACAAAAATGCCTAGCTGGAAAGTATCAATTATGATATTATTAATCTGAAATATTAAAAGAATATAAAAGAAATGTCAGGATTTAATGAAAAAACAATTAAATGGCCTTGGGGAAAACATCAACATTAAGAATCAAAGTTATTAAAACTTACACACTTATTTACTAATGCTACTGAATCAAACAACATTTTTTTTTCCCAAAGAACCAAAAGCATTTTCTTGCAGCTACACAAACTACATAAAGTCCCTTTCACTTATGAACATCCCCCAGAGAAAAACTTAAGCAAAAGAGGGGAGAAGTTCTACAAAAATTCTATTTTTGCATTTTCTGTTTTTGCCTTCCTTGCTTAAAAAAAAAAAAAGGAAAGCTTTTTCAAACATGAAATAGCCTTTTCACCTCCTGTGCATAAAAATGAGCAATATTTTACTTAGTTGACTTACTTGGCTAAATATCCCGAATCAACCTGCTGATATTTCTGTGAATAGTCTCTTTTATCCACTCTATAATTAAGGAATCACAAATGCCTTCAGAAGTATTTTTCAATAAAGACTTTATTTGGCACTTTTTAGGAAGTTTGAGATATGTGATTGGTTAATAAGCAGCTCAACATCTGGCCTGAGCACTTAAAGAACAATGGTGGTCAAAGACAACATGTAAATCATAGGTGTAAGAGACACAGAACATAAGGCACCTTTCCTGTTCTGCATAAAAAAAAGCCTACCTATCCTTCACCCTATCCTCTCAAGAAGTGGTCAGATTAAAGTCTGTGTTTGGGCCAGAAGTGGTGCAATTTAAACTCAACTTTATTTTTGTAAGAGCATTTGTAGTACTTGCTCTATGAATAGCAAAGTAATTCAGTTTTGCTCTGTGCTGCTCCCTTAGATTGCAGAATCTATGGAACTGGCAGATTATATGCGGTCTTGGATTGGTTGTTGGTATGGTAAAAGTCCTATACACTAAAATTATACTCACAACAGAATCCAAATGCTTATGCTATATATACTTTGAGAGCTGATGCAGACAATTTTTCAGAAGCAGTTTTCAATCTTGTACCAATAACTCTATATTCAAAAATCTTAAACACACAAACATTTCATGTGCACAAATGGTGATATCTATTTAATCTGAGGGTGATGATAACAACTTGATTTCTAGGATCAAAATCTATTGTGACTGTATTAAAATTATATATATATATAAAGCAGAGAGGGCTATTCGTCAACGTGGACTGTGACACTGAAAAAAAAAAACCCACCTCTGCAATATCACCTATATGACATACTTCTGAGACTACAAATACAAACTCTTATTCAGAAAAAGAAGTACAACCCTTTTACAATTAAAAATGCCAAGCGTGTTCAAAGCCATGAGGTACCAATATGGGAAGGGGAAACAAAACTGCTTACTGATTTAACAATTAAGGTAAAGCATGGAGGGTACTTACACAGTGACCAAGCTAAGGGAAGCAGAAGGGAAAAGAGTGAAATACATCAGTGCTGAGCAGGTAGAAATAAAAATGTAATTTTCATAGTAAAAATAATTAAAAAAAATAACCAAACAAGCAATATAAAATGATTAAGCTTGGAGTTAATATATCAGAAAATTATGGGAGCAAATGAAAAGTGGTGAGAGAGGGAAGGATCAGAGAGATTTATCCTTCCATAGTTGACTACAGCTTGCCTGATGCAGGAAAGAGGAGGGCAAAGCTGAAGCATCAGCTTAGTAACCTCCTAACAGCGTGTGCTTGCAGGAACTAGGAGTAGTGCAGGTCACCAGATCCAAGCTGCCCACGGCTCTGGTTTTGGGTGCAGATTACCTGCCCAGCTCACAGTGAGTCAGGGAGAGATGGAGCAGGACCCTGCAGTGCTGAGCCCACTGAGGGTACTCCCAGCTCCTGGCACATCAACTCCCCTGCTGGTGGAAGCATAATTTCTTCTTTCTAAAGCGCATGAGAATGAATAAAGCTCTGTGATGTGAAAAAATGTTAAGGGAAGGATCTAAGGAACTGCTGTCAGTTTGGAGGTACCAGCTATGGGAATGCAACACTGTGAGTCGGGGACGATTCCTTCCTTTCTGTCATGAGAGTCAGCCATGACCACTTGTGGTTTGGTGTCCAATATCACTAATCGCCCCTCGAATGCTCCTCCATATCCCATCTTGGGGGTTATTTAATGAAAGGCTTATATTTTCACTCCTGTCAGCCCTCATTGATTTATATGATAATTTATACTCTCATTACTTATGTTTGTGTTTTATTGATTTATTCTTTTAAGGTTATGATTACAGGACTTAATTTTTGTTACTTTAATTACTCCTCCCTTTTCCTTCCTCCTTCTGAAAGAAAAATTATCATCCGTCTGATCTCTCTACTCAGAAGTCAGAAGCGTATGTACTTGACTTGAAAGCTTTTCTACTTGGAATTTACATGTAATGCTCTTCAAAGTAATACCATTTTTTTTAAAAGTATAAAATAGCAAAACAAACTAGAAATGCATTCACATTACTTCCTAAGTAAATCTGTGCACACTCCAAAAGCAATTGACCATGAACCTATGGCAAGGATTACTGCACCTCAACATGTTCATGAAATGTCATGTTTTCTACTTAAAGGGAAACCATTGCATTTGAAGCTACTTCCAGAACAGTTAATACTCAGGTGATCGACTTGGAAAGATCTGCCTAACAAGTGAGGGGTTTTCTTTGGCCCATAAAAAGGAAAGGGTGGCTGCTCAGGTACAGAAGGCCTGAGCCAAAGCTGGTTCTTGTTGGTTTTGGCAAAAGTCCACACAGTTCTCTGTTTAACTTTGCCTCACTGGCTTCCCAGCATCTTGGCTGATGTTTTGTCATAAGTTGTAGCCACGCAGTTATCATCCTGCAAGACTATGGACAACCCTGAGAAACAAAGTGCACAGAAAAGCACAAAGAAGCAAGAGAGAACAAGAAAAAGCAAATCAAGCTGCTACAATTGGTTTTATTTATTCTTGAGATATTTAAAGCCATCTGCACAGTGTCTCTTAAATCAATGCTATGCTTCAGTCAACTTTTACTAAAGTTCCCTATTGGCCTGAATCGATTAATTGATTAGGAAAGCAGAATTTCTCCCAAGGTTATAAAGCAAACCTGCAGAAGAGGAAGCATGTCTCTGGTTTTCAAGGAAGACAATCAAACCAAAGACATGCCTTCAGGGCACGCAGCTTCCTGTGAACCATTCAAATTTGGGCACCTTGGAAAGACCTGCTGCAGGGTCCTGTGTAATCACAGCACCAGAGAGCAGAAGCTGCCAAACAGCACGCTGGCTCAGTATCTAGAACAGCTACACTGTAAGGAGTTTTGCCAATCAGGTGCTGCAGGTGCTTTGAACCTCTGTGCTCATTATTTAGGATGATGCTGTAACACACAGCAGCTGATTTTTACCATAACTGCTTCTCTGAGTTCTACCTTTCCCATAACTTTTGACTACAGATGAAGAACATCTCGCCCAGTGGATTTCACAGGAACTCTAATTCCACATCATTGCATCTTTTGAACACATCCTGATGAATATTCCTTACCTCACAGCTACTGAGATCTAAAGACACCTCCTTCAGATTGTGATTGCAAGCCAGGCCTAATAAAAGCGCTCTGAAAAAGATCAATTTTAGAACCATTTAAAAAAAAAAAAAAAACAGCCAGCTTTACATCATCATCATCATCTAAGTGATCACAGGTTAATACACCTATAATGTGAAGAACCATTTCAAACCAAAACCACACCAGCTGAGCAGTTATTTCTTAAATAACAACGGCAGAACAAACCTGCCACACTTCGAAGACTCCAACAACTTCAAAAACTGCAGGGATGCAAAGCTAATAAAGAAAACATAAAGCTAATGCTACATCAGCACTTAATACTTTCATCAGAGATGAATTTTCTTCAACATTTGCTTTCAAAGAGTATCAAATGATTACAAAATGAGCGTTCTGTTGTACAACCATACTAACTCTCTGATTTTTCGAAATTTTGGGAAAAAAAATGGGGCTTTTAAAATATACAAGATGCAGTGCAGCCAGCCATTTGAGCCAGGCACAGTGCCTGTAACACTCAAATGCTGGATTGTGTTCAAGTATCACACAATTCCCCACTTCTGCAACCCAATAAATATTTAGATTTCAAAATGATACCCCCAGACAATGGTGTCCTCTGTCTTTAGGCAGAATGGCAGAAAAGTGAAGCAACGACTGATTACAATTTTCATAAATCCACCTATAAAGCCTTACAGAAGTTTGTTTCCACACATAAAAGTTAGTGTTAATATCACATTTGTATTAATACTGTCATATCAGAAAGCACAACTGCATGCGTGTTGGAAAAGGAACAAACACAATCTGTGTACACCCTTCTAGTATCTTTAGAATAGATACTGCTTTGAATTAGTAATTGAACAGAGAAACAGAAGGACTTCCTCCCCAAACTTCATTTCAGCCAAAAGCAAGCTAACAGAATCCAAACTACTGATGCATGGAGATAAAAACCAATCAATTTTGCTGAGCCATTTGCCTATACGCTTGTTATGCAAGTAGTGTGTAAAACCACATTTAAAATGTGTGCACCCCAGGAAGGTTTTTCATTTAAACCTATTTATATCTGCCCTGCAGGTATAAATGTTAATCAGACTTTTGCTGTTAACAAAGGCAAATATCTTGTGCTTATTTACTTCTTAAGCTCTTAATACGCAGGCTTTGAAAAATGTGAAAGCTCTGCAACAATTTTTACAAATTTTTAGACGATGCTTGTCTATATTTCCTTCCCAAGCACGCTTTTATTCAAAGTTAGTCTGGCTGATGATAACCTTGCAAAGAACTTCCTAAACATTTTGGGTCAACCTAAAAAATACAGCGCAACTATAAAAAAAATGCAGATAGAAAAAGAGACACAGCGCTACTTCAAATGTACTTTCTTCACAGGAAGAAAAAAAGGTTGGGTTTTTTCCTAACCTCTTTCCTATAAACTCATCCTAAGAAAATTTCATGATTTCTCCATTCTTTGTCATGACAAATCACCAGCATTCAAAGGCACTGAAGGCAGACGTATTATCATTATACTTAGCCACTATGTTTCAATCACACACATGGCAACACATGGAAAGGTCTTGTCAACTGTGGTACATAAAGAATGCAAGAAATGGCCTTGTAATTAGCATTTGCATGAGAAGTGTATCAGAAACTTGCCTTGTTATAGCACTGACAGATCAAAATACTACTTTTGGCAATGTCTGTAACTGAACAAAAATGCCAACATACGCTTAAACAAGGAAAAGAGAGTATAAACTGCTTTACTCAAAAAAAAAAAAAAAAAAAGAAAGGGGGGAGGGGGAAGAGCAAGCTGTGATAGAACATTAACTACATTAACTTTGTACAAGAACTAAAAGCACCCTTTCCCCACCCACCTGCGCAGCACATCTTCACTCGCAAACCTCCTCCCTGGAAGGCCTGACTTTATTAACACCTCCATCACTGTGCAAACCAGTTCATCTCCTTCCCTGAGTGCACCGATTAACCAGTATCTTTAAACTCACTGAGTTAGCATATGTGATTAAACATACCACAACTGTTGATCTAAAGGAAGTTAATAAAAAAGAAATCAAATATCAATTACTCAGGGGAACCGGGCACTCAAGGTGTCACGTAACTGCATTTTGTCTATGTATTTTTCTGTAGGCAGGCTTGATCTTGAATCACACATCCAACTCTGCGACCTCTGGTTCATGGACACAAACCAGGAACAACTTCTTTGTCATAGGACAGTTCCAAGGCCCAATTGTCAAAAGCTTTTTGACATGCACTATTCAAAGATGCCAGAGAAGTACTATTATCATACACTATGTCATTTTTATTTTTCCTTCTAGAAATCATCTCTCATGTGCTACTGCAATCTTGGCAATGACAAATAAGTCTGTCTAAAAAAAAAGGTGTTTCCATCTTGTCTTCAACAAATCCTATGATCCTGATTGTTCTGTAGAAGTTTTGAAATTTCTTGCAGTTAAGACCAAAAGGCTAAGCAGCTGTCCCAGGATACAGCACATGCTCAGTCCTTTTAACACCAGATTAACTTCCACAGGATGCTTTTCAAGTGTATTAGTCAAGCCACACAGGGTGAGAGGGAAAGCAAGGTGTACTGCAGCTCATAGTTCTCTGTACTGTTGTGAAATACACTCAGCTCAGACTTAAGAAAAAACTCAGGTCAGAGAAAAAGCACATGAAGGAAACTACTAAAAAATATTAAAAGTTCTGTCTTACCTCCTAGGCAGAGGTGAATACTGCCATCCGAACAAAACAAAAGAAGCCCATGCCAAAATGCCAGCCAGCTGAGTGTGCCATGGACACTCAGAGACCTCCTTGTCCAGCTGGACTTTGGACAGATGCTCCTTTCTGGAGCTATCTGCCCTGGTGAAAGAGGTTACTGCTCTCAGCTCATCCTATGCTGCCCACCACTGCCTCTTTAATTCCACCAACACCAGTCATGCAAGTAACTCCCTCTAACCCAATTCACTCAAATTGAGCCAGATTAGCTTAAACATTATCATCAGAGTAGGTTTTTGCTAATACAGATCACTTTAACTGAAAAGGACTAGGAAGATCTTATTTTCTCCACAGCTGGCAGATCAAGGAGTCACAAGTATTTGGGATAAATTAATACAACATCATCTTCCGTGAGCACAGACAATTGTAGAGCACCCACCTGCAAAAACTCCTGACACCCCAGGAGATACTCAACGTGTCAAGGCCAAGAGCTAAATATGAACCTTAGTGTTTGTGGCTTCTCACCTTTCCTAATCTGTGTAGATATATTCAATGTCTTACAGCATTCTTTTTTTCCTGTAGCACTGATAAGATTGTCTTGTGTATTAGTCACATACATCCTCTTTCTTCTTGCTTCATTAAACATAGCTCCCTGCTGCCCTCCACCACAGAATCAATAGTCCTAAATTAATCAGAATCAACCAATGTGGTTCTCAATAATCGCTTTCTGTTTGAAAACACATTAGTACCATACCTTCCTAATCTTGGCAAAGTCTAAGCAAGCAAGACAGCAACTGAGAGCATCACAGGGTACAGAGTGAAAGATCAGAGCTAAAATGATAGGCTCCTGCAGTTGAATATTGATTTCAATCCAGTCCACCATACTTAAGCATCATAATGTATTGTCCTCTCCAATGTCAAACTGCATTAAGAAAAAATACCCACAAACAATGTACACTACTCTTTCCTGTGTGGCACTTGTCACTTTTCTCTCCCTTAGCTTCCCCCAGATCTAAAGCTAGCCATCTGGTACTCACTAACTACTCTTTATATCCCACATCTCTGACTTTGCCATCAACTCCCACTGATTAGCTACTCCCTTGCTGAGGTACTGCCCACTTCCCTTCCCTGGTCTCCCGCCGGGGGCAGGCTCCCAACCACACAAGTATACATGCATATACATATATATCTATATCTGTGTCCAGATTAGGACTTTGGAGGTGTGTTCCCCAAAGTGGTTAGCGAACATGTCTGGGTGTCTACTACAGATAGGGTTATGTATGTTTTAATGTATATTAGGTAGCAAGTTGACAGTCTGGAAAAAGTCCTTTCTTTAATTTAGACCAATAAACACAAGGATTCTGCCAGAATCACAGAATGACCTATCCAGCATAGATCTATCTATCTAGACCTATCTTGACTTTAAAACACACCTTTAAATTTTATGTCTGGAAAGTTCAACACAGTTCAAAAGTGCATAAGTCACAGGTGGGGTGACACGCCGCTACGCAATTTCCCTCAGCCTGCATTAGGCTGTAAGAGGAGTTTCTCTCCAGCGTTGGGTGGGCAATGGAAGTGTCCAACCCGCACCTCCAGAACCTGTTAGCCACAGGATGGGTGACATATAGCAAAGAGATGTATCACACTTAGCATTCCCAGAAGTTGCTTCCATCGTCTCTCCCTCTAACAGAAGGGCATAGCTCTGTGGAATAGGTCTCTCTTCCCAAGTATTGCAACAGGTTCAATTTCACAACGGCTGTTGCAATACCGCAGCCTCAAAGGAACGGCACTCACACAAGTACATAATCCCATTTTACTGTGAAGCAAACGTTTTTTCGTTCGTAAGCCACAAAGTAAGAAATATATCACAAAAAAATGTTGATGGAAGCTAAACAGCTGTGACACTCCCACAGAACAAAATATGGTTAATAGTCTCAACTGTGAGATGGAAACAACATTTCTTGAATGTGTGATCATTACAAAACTCACTCTTGCAATATCAATAATGTACAATGGAAAAAAAAAGCAAAATCCTTTCCCCTTCATTTTTAATATGAGGCACTCACATAACAAAAATGCAAACTAGGTTTTAGGCAACAGGAGAAAATGAAATGAAATTCTTACTTTAGAGGCTCAGGAGGGAGTTTAGTTCCCGAAAGATTAATCTGCATCAAAGCAAGTGAGCTGCTGAAAAACTGTTTGAAGGAAGGAGGGACTTCTTTTCCTTTTCTGTAAGTAAACAAATTCATTAAGAAGTAGCATCTAGACACTCTTCATTCCAATAAATAGTAAATGCAAGCCATCAGAATTGTAATGATCTTTTACATGTTTAATTTGCTCTACCTTCAACAGCTCTGTAATCAGTGGATCTCAATTAGCTTAGAAATATAATGTCATCAAAATGTTGATTCAACAAACAATCCTCAGCATTGCGCTGCTGCACAGAAGACATTACTATCTAGCTTCCGTTTGGTGAACTACAAAGAATTATCATTTAGGTCTGGTTAATAGTGAACGTACTTATACATTATGAGTAGAAAATCAAACAGGACATTACAAAACCCCTGAAATTGTGTTTTCACTACTAGAAATAGTTACTCAATGGTGGAGTAGCTTATCCCCAATTAGGTATCATCTCTGATATGGACATAAGACATTGATTTGAGGAAAAGGGAAGCTAATGTTAATATTTCCTATAATTCAAGTATTCTACAAAGTCAATGTGCAGTTCCAAGCATTTCAAAGGGACTTCCTCCCAAAAAAGGACAAAAAAGGGGAAAAAAAAGCATTTATAACCATCACCAAATCATGAAAAATACAAATTCTAAAAACCAAATTTAAAGAGGAATCAGGTCAGTCAGACTTCAAAGCCTGATGTTATGCCTCTTAGAGACAAAAGATATATATAGACTCTCCACTGCATCAGTATCACAAAAAACATATTAGACAAGGTAGCTTATTTTACAGCCATCTAGGAAAGAGCAGAAAAGGAAAGAAAATATTCTACTTAAAATAAATAATACCTATTTCATAGAAAAATAAGACTTCCAAGACTTTATGAAAAAGTCTTCAATTTCTTCTTAAAAAAATAAAAAAAAGGTGCAACATGAGAGTGAGAAATTATGTAACAAAATATCACAGGAGCTTAGAGTAATTCTATTTAAACTGTACCTGTGAGAAAAAAGAGTCCTAGAGAGGCTAAGGACAGCTAAATGCTGAAGACATCCACGAAGGAGGGCTCCACACACCTGGTTTGAAACAAAGATTGATTTTACTTTCTATTCAACCAGAAAAGTACCTAGGGATAAAAGGTGGGTAAAGTTTCCTTCACATTTGAATCTCCACAAAAAATATCTTTACCATATCTAGCGCACACTCCGTGTTGGATAAATCCAGGTGAACAAGGGCATTTGGCTGGGCCAAAAAATTGTACAGACTCTATAATTAATGGAGAAAAAAAAGAATTATCCATATTAATTTTGGTATTATGACACTGATTATTGGATCGCTACTTCTCATGACATTTTAGGCTTTTATTATAAAGTTGCACTACAAGAATTGTGTCTGAAACTTTACTTAATCAATACAACCTGTTTTACTTTTGAAGGGTATCATTTTTTTAAATGATAGTGGGAAAAACGGTGCTTAGACTACATCTACTAAATATTACTCCTTGCAATTAATTTTCACAGCAAATGATAATTAACTTAGTTAGAAACACCTTGGAATGTCACTCAGGTTGCTGTTATGTTTCAGAAAGGCTAATTGGTTTGTAAGCTTAAGCCAGCCCCTTTAAGCATGAGGGAAGCAACTAATTTGCGTCTGAAGCCCATAGTTATTTCTTAATATCAGCAGTGCATTAAAGGTTTAAGGGAGAATATAGAACAGGTAACAAGATTTTAATACTGATGGCTTCAGTAATGCATAGGATATGTCATGCAAATGTTAGCGTATGTAAAACTTCTTACTATACACTGTTTTACTTTGGGCTTTTTTTAGTCTCAGAGAACAACACAGAAAGATAGAAGTACGACCTAATTCTCAGAAATGTGGAACCCTCAACTCCACATGAAATCCAGCCAAACAGAGCATGTTCAACATTTCTAAAATAGATTCATCTTTCTAGAAATTAGGTCATTTAGCCCCTATACCTGCAGTGCAAGAAAGGTCCCTGCTTTAAAAATCCCTGTGCTTTGCTAGAGTTTATTTTAAATGCTAAATAACAGGATTTCTGTACTCCTGTTGGAAAACTGTTCCAGAGATTAAGAGATCTCAGTATTAATAATCTTTTTCTTTGAACCATCTCTCTCTCTCTGACAGGATAAGAAAAGCCCTACTTTTTGTATTTAGGTCCCTTAAAATATTGTAGGCAGACATCAGACTTAAGCATTGCCTATCGAAGTCGTACATTTTATTTTACTTTTTGTTTTTACATTAGTTGCTGTGTCATTCCCTCTTTAAGACTAATTCACTGTGTGTCTTTATTTACATTTAAGTATTTGTTTGCTACCGTTTAAATCCTCTTGTCCTACTGAAATTTCACCTCCTGTCTGAAAAAGACTAGTTCTTTGAATGTGCTGAGGAATCTGAAACTAGTACCATTTGTGAAAAAGTACCTCAGTCATGTCTGACTGCGCTTTAAATGGTAAGTTTGGGCGACTCTAGCATTGTGTATTTTAGATGCTCAATACTTCAAGAATTCAAAACCTGACACTTACATGCACACAACTTTTGATGTGAGGGAAAAATATGGATGTTAACAGTCAAAAAGTGAACACATACAAATTAAGAACTAAGTGGATTTTGTTATAGAGAAACTAGAGCTGCACCTCTATGGTAATTGATAAACTGAAGAAAGGTATTTAAGTAATGATTACATTCTTCAAAGAATCATGAGCTTCAACAGCATGTGTCAAGGAGATGCACAGATTTATTTATACAAACAAAAATATTGAAAACCAGAAATTGAGTCTTTCCAAGTCAAAAGAATTCAACTGTTTCCAGCCTTCCAATGAAAAATTTGTAATACAGTTATCACTAAAAATAACATGGGGTTTTTTAATTGTCTTTTGGTCACTTTCAAACAGAACTCAGGGAGCATGGTAAGCACACCGAAATAAGTGGTACACTTGTAGTTTTCTCATTTATCAGTAGAAGCAAAGGACTAAAAGCATGAACTAAAATTATGTGGATATGTTTAGTCGTGTGGGGCAATTCAATTCTCTGACTACATAAGGAAGAATGAAGATCAAAATGTTATTTTCTACCCCTACTAGAACTGTACCGAAAGAAAGGCAAAAAAGCATCTAAACAAAATGGCTTTGCCCTTCTCTTAATAATAAATTAAAACATCAGCTCATTAACTCACGAAAGAGAAGAAAGTGCTTACAGAGAGATCATCACCACGGAGGGCGTTCCCTGAGAGGTCAAGATAGACGAGCGTGTTCGCGATCAGCGAGTTGGCACTCAGTGACTGAGAAAGGCTATTCACCCCTGCCAAAAAAAAAAAAAAATACATAATGTTAGTAGTCACTTTAGCCAACTTTAGACAAAACTAGCCCAGATCCTGCAAGTGCACAATTTCAGTGAACAGAGACACACATAAATGTTTAACGACCTCCTGTTACCACCACTGTACTGCAGCAGGAAGGTAGACCACCAGGCAGATACGAGACTCTTCCTTGCCACAGCATGCCCGGTTTTGTCTGGACCACACTCCATCAGATGCCCCGATGGAGCCACAGTGTTTTATAGGTCCTGGATCCGGGGAAGAAGTGTTTTTGTGTAGTCTGCAATGGCTTTAACAGTGCAATCCCAGTTTGAAACAGATTTTTAAAACAGAATTTACTCCACAACGTTAAGACAGTGTCTTCCTGCAAACAGTAATATTTAGATAAAAGTATCTGTGGAAGACGATGAAAGAATCTGTGGAAGACCAAGCACATTAACAATTATAATTGCCAGAACTTCAAAAGCAACTGATGAGGCCTAGAAATTAAAAATATTTCACATATTTGCCTGTAATTTCAGAAAATAGTTAACTAAAATATCAAGAGATGCATAAAGACTCTCAATTCTTGATCAGAACAAATACATATTTTTCACATTAAAATTAAAAAGCTCACATTGGGAACAAAACAGTCAGAGCTTTCTTCCTCTAAAATTCTTCAGCTTTTCCAAATACAAATTAGGACGTGGCTACTTCCTGCAAATCTAACTTTCACCTGAGGGCTCTGTAGCTTATCACCAAGTTTTTAATTTATTGTAGATGGCTATTGTTGCCTTTCAAGCAGTATGTTTCTTACATGTGCGTGTTTCTTACATGCATGTGTTTTGTAAGTGCCTGGCCACAGCTATAAAGCAGTCAAGCGTTTTGATCTACTACACAGTATTTCGCAATTTCTCAAAGCTGCTTGTCAGTGAAAATGGACTGGCATTCAATGGATGAAACATGTCCACTCTTCAGTTAAAAACTATTGTGAAATGGATTTATCAGTGAAAATATGGAGGAAGCAGCTAGCAAGCCACTGGAGACCAAAATACTCCACTTTAGTTTTCCATGCTGCAAAATATTAAGAAAGTCTCCCATGTTGGTAGTGTGGCTCTTGGTTTCAGGAGGCTTTTGATACTGAAAAGAATCAAAGCACAGTGACATCTTTGTCAAGTCTCAAAACTTTTTCGTTCACGTGATTTTTCTTTTATCTTAACGTTGCATTGTTGAATACAATCTATACCTATCTATAAAGGTAAACTGCAAATGAATATTTACAAAGTTTCGTTTGAAAGATCTAAAAGCTCTCTTTAGCCACTAGAGCTTACAGCTCTGTATTTACTTTAGTGAGTCTTCTCAACAGTATATATAAGCAACAGGATGTCCTGGTTTGAGGAAGAAGTAGAAATGAAATGTAATATACTGTCGACAATTCAGCATATACTATTGAGAACCAATTCTGGGAATTCAGGAGCAGTGTCTGAGTCTGGGGGAGAAGAAGAGCTGTCAAACAATCCGTTATGTTGCTGCTTGTCCAACTGCTAAAAATCAGCCTTATCACTGAAGGCAAAAAATGAGAATGAGGGATTTTTTTAATTAGCCTTTGGCTCGGGCTCAGAAAAGCAAGCCCTAACTTTGAATGAGTATACCAGAATTTTCCATTTAACCAGACTCTTCAAATCAATAAATTTTTGTTTGAACTTCACCTACCGCAAGCTATACTCTAACAGTAATCTCACTTTCATTTGCACACAATCCTTCATGCTCTTTTACTGCTCTCAGGAGGCTCAGACTGTTAATAGCTCTCAGGAACTTTGAGATGCAATATTTGAAGAAAGATCAGCTGGGAAGTTACCACCTGAACTTCACTTCTCAATCTTGGAAACTTATCTCGAATAGAAAACACTTTTTAAATAAGGTGAAAACTAGTGAGGGATTGGACAGAATTTCTGAAACTGAAAAGCTCAGAATAAATAAATAAATAAAAGATAAAGGGGGTGGGCAATCCACGCACCTTTAAGTCTACTGAATCCAAGATCCAAGGTCTCCTTTAGACTTTTCCCACAGAAAATATTATAATAATCCCCCCTCAATATCACAAGTTCAAAAATAGTGCCCCAAATTAAAACCAGTTCAGTACTGTCTTCTTATGTTAGAGGAAAGCTGGCTAAGACAGACAGCTTTGCAGACAACCAAAGAGGTGAAACTGAATTTCTTCAGGTCCAGAGGGTTATAAGAATTCCAATTGTAAGACACTGCATACACTTTTTTAAGGAATTCTGAGAAGCTACCATCAGACAATATTCATGGTGACGTACGTTACTTTCTGGAGAACTGATAGTAATTGCAATGCAGTCCAGACCAGGATTCACATGAAGTCAGTATTAGACATACTGGAATATATTTTCAGCTTTTGTTAAAAGATCGTCTTTAAGAAGTGGGTTAAAAACCTTCCAAACTCTTTTTCTAACCTCAGAATTCATCTTTACTGACAAGAGTTCTGTGGATGAACTTCATCAAGCTGGCATTTATCCTTTACGAAGACGGAAACGTAGCCAGAATATTCTTGTGACTGAATGATCATGAGCACTTACCGAAATAATTCAGATCACGTGAAGAAAAGCACAGGATGAATGAACACATCAGAACTGCATGAATTTATGTCAAATTCATGTACATCTAATCTCAAGAGTGCATGGAAGGTTAGTCAAGATTCTTAATCAATTGCTTGTCACCAAAAATGGAGTTTAGCAGTGGGGAAAAAAAAAAAACCACAATCCCAGAGTTTAATAAAGTCTTCTTAATGACAATCATTATTGAATAAATACAGTTTAGGGTTTACTATTCACTTAAGCATAACAAAAGCTACAGAACACTCACAAAAAAACAGCAAAAAACCTTTCTCCCCACCCATATTTCCCCAAGTCAATCCTTAAAGCTTAGGAGCACATAGAATCTGCACTTCACAGAGCAATAATTGAAAGGATAAAAGAGCAGAGCTCCTATCTGTTGTCAACTAATGTCCTTCATAGACTGTAACTCACTCATCTTTTCCAGGTCATCAACATCTGTGAAAAAGCTGCAATAATGTCAGTGCATTTTTTCTATTTTTAACACTCGTGTTCTATATACAGGAAACCCTGGGTTTGAGCGGTCTGTTTAAGAGGTCAGTGCATCTATTATTTGTAAAACAGCAATGCAAAAAACCCTGAAAGCTTCTGACTTGTGTTTCAGTACTGTTATTGCTTTTAACATATATACATACATTTCAACTAGAATATCAAATCAGAAGTTTGTAAATTATAAAACAGAGAAGTCTTAACTCAAAGCAAACCACTTAACAGCCATTGCCACAATGCTTGGTTTCATAAAATAATTGTGTGCAAAACGTTTGGAAAATTCCCTATACTTTCCCTATATTTTTGCATCAGACATCTTTTTGAAGAATCTATGAAACATAATTTATGACAATTCTAAATTCAATCTTTCTTTACAATACAAGTTCAAGCTCAAAGCTTACAGAAGCATGTAAGAGTTTTTCAAAGCGCTGAAGGGGACACAGAACCCAGACCACAGTTCAGCAACCCAGGACTGCAAAAAAGCAGCTGCACTGTTGAGAATACACATGTAAATCAATTTTGGAATAAATTACTTTATAATCTGGTACCAAAAGGTATTATTAGGATGGAAGCATGAAACTTTTAGAACAGAAAAAGAGGCGTACTTGTAAAACATACCTTTAGGTGACAAGGAGGTTTTAGATAAATTTAAATGTTTCAGTCCCTTTGGAAGTTTGGCGAACTGGATGCTCAAAGATGACACACCTGTTGGGGGAGCAAACAGAAAAATGGATGTTTTCAGGTTCACTGTGTGATCTCAGATTTTCCCAGCAAACACACCAGGAGCAAACACTCTTAGAGAAGGAACTGCAGCCACCGTGGGGGTGAGCCCAAAATCACCCTGCCTTTTTATGGCCATAAATCTTTGAAATGACTGATGCAGTCAAGATCCCTTCTTCGCTCACCAATGAACAAACAGGGAGCTTTGCTGTTAATGATCAGCAAGCAACCCTAACTAGTTTAAAAGCTATATAATGCACACATACTTTTAAGGAGGAGTTGAAGGGAAGGTATTACACATGTCAAACAGTCAGCACTTGCAAAATGTGGAAGCTTTATGGTTCAGCCAAAAAAATTAACATAAAAAACCAACCACAAAATAAAATCCAATACTAGTACTTCATGTGAAACTCTAGACTGATTTTATTTTTGTTTAAAAGGAAGGGCTGTCAAGGCAAGAGAGAGACCCACATTAGCTAACATCGCCCCCTTTTCCTGAGGTAAACCCCAAGAGTCTGAAACCTCCACCAAGTTGTAATGGCCACTTAACTCCCTTACAGTAGCCTGCAGGTTACCAGCCAGGACACAGGCTTGGAAATGTTACAACTGCTTGCAATCCCAAACAGTAAAAACCTATTAAGATGCTGACATGGACTGGGCTACATCAGCACAAATCCAACAAAAGGGGAAGGTGGGGGGGTGGGGCGCGGGGAAGCACTTTTCATTAAAGTAATTTCTCAGTGTATCCAAGTTCCACACTCCATAAATTTAATCCCCCCATTTAAGCAAAAGATTGAAATTTGATTAAGGGGGCACATCCTTAATAACAATGGAACCAATCCATGAAATATTTATCATAGGAATATAGAATACAGTGTGAAATACAGTCCTCTACAGCAACTCACTCGGTGAGAAAAGGGCAGAGAAGGGGGGAAAGCCTTTTACTTGTCTGAAAACACAGTAAACGAAAAAGCTGATACGCTTCTCCACAGATGCAGACATGAAACAATCTACTAGTATGTCACACACGTTTACGCTGATTTTTATCATGCTTTACCTATCACTGATAATGAAAGAACAGCTGCCTTGCAGAGACAGTGCCTGCCTGTCGGGGGGCGGGTTAATGCTCTTCATAAAAGCATGTTGCATATGCTGGTGATAGGTCCACGCAGCTCAAGACAACAGACTGTATTTTATTTTTACTGCCAAAATATTAGACCGATGATGCCTTGGCATCGTTTATTATAAAACACAATGGTAACCAGATGTCTCCACCAACTTTCAGCAAGAATTAATCAAGTCATGTTAATAGGATTTTCTTTCATAGCTCTACTATTTAAAATAATATATCTTTTAGCTCCTCTGAAGTAGGAGGCCCAATCTGTCTTAAGCTGGTCTCAGAATTTATATTCTAGCTGACTGTCCACATTTGTTAAGATAGTTTAGTCACACAATATTTACCCTCAAAATCAAGGCAGAGTTATGCTGGCAAAAGAGGAGAAAAAGGAGTACAATCAGAATCATTAAGGATATCACAAATGCAATTTTTGTTGTGGAGCACTGTGAGTAAGACGTGAAGCAAATAATTTTACCTCTCCATCTTTGTATTTAGCTAATAATCTACAGACCACTTATCACTCCAGTCAATCTGAACAAGTTTAACATCTTACCAGCACTAGGCGTTAAGGATCCATCCATTTATAAGATACAGAAATCAGGTGCAGAAATGAAACCAGGCTTCTGGTTACTCAGGCCCTTCAACGCTCTTTAAGCCACCCATTTTTGCTAACCTCCTAACAGAGATGAGAGCTTTAATGGCAGAAGTAAAGTTAACTGCATCCAGGCAGACAGTTTTGAATTTGAGTATTTCTAAGCTTCAGTATTTTGTTTTGCATTATTTTTAACAAAATACGAGATTAATTTCTGATCCCAGTAGAGCCCAAAGCAAAACTCCCATCATTTCAGCATGGCTAGATTTTAAAGCCAAGATTGATGATAGACTTTCCAAGTGTTAGTCTCACAAATATTGAGAGTACCATAAAGGGAAGCCAATCACAAATTAAGAGACTGGTCTCAGTGTGAATCACTTCATATAAACACTGCATTGTATTTGAACTGAAGGCAGGTCCTATACCTTAGTTAAACTAAACACAGTTCCCATGTTATTGAAATACAGACAGTTGCATTAATGTAATAATACAATGTCTTTACTTACTGGTACTCAATAATATAGAATAGCTTAGGGTGGGTTTTTTGTTCAAACAAGACACAACAATATGTTCTTCCCCATAATTCACACAACTATGTTATAATCACAAAATAATCTGGTTGAACTTCCAATTCTTACAGAAGTGATTTGTCAAGAGATATTTTCCAAAATTCGTATGTTTACACAAATCTCCATTATGCCAGCTTTTACTTGTGAAATGCTTGCTGCCCCTTCAGTTTAATAAAGTCAAATCTACTTTGCACCCACTGAATATCAGATTACAGGACACAAATCTTTCTTAAACTGAAAAGCTGCAATATTTGCACATTGCAATTATAGTTAATTTCTCCTTAAGTACTCATATAACTTACCTAATTCTCTAATGAAAAGGTCAAATTTTAATTGCTTATGTGGTAGGAGCGACTGAGATAATGAAAAAACCCTACTAATTTCTCCAAGTTGTTGTTTCTGCATTTCATTTGTATCTTGTATGTGGATACTGTAGAACGGTTTGAGTCTATAGGTTTGTTGCAAAGAAAGTACCCACACTGATCTGTTAAAAAATAAAAAAATAAAATCCCCTGCACTGTAGAATATCTACCAAATGCTTTGGTCAGCTGTTTTGCTTTCAAGATGAGTTCCTTTAAAAAAAAAAAAAAAACCAAAAACCTTTCATATAACACAATCTAAATGCACTTCCTCAAAAGCAGAATCACCAAGCTAACAGCGTTTTTCCAACTTACAACAGAATTTTTTTGTACAATGCAAGTTAGGCCTACGGCACACTGCAATAATAACGTTCTTCAGCAAAACGTTGGCTTTCACGTGTGTCGTGGTTTGGCCTCAGCCAGCAACAAAGAACCAGGCAGCCGCTCGCTCAACTCCCACAGCCATGGGAAAAATCAGCATAAAAAGGCAAAACTCGGGGGTTGAGATAGTGCAGTTTAACAGAACAGCAAAAGGGAATAGGAAAAAAAAAAAAAACAACAATAACAGCAATAAAGAAATATAAAGACGCAATTACAGTACCGCCGCGCACCGACCGCACCTGAACTAGGCAGCCCACCCCCGAGTGGCAACTGTCCCCCCCCTCCCCGGCTAGCTCCTCTTATAGCCCGGGCATGGGTCACGTGGTATGGAATACCCAACTCCCCGCATCCCTGGGGAAATTAACCCCATTCCTGCCGGAACCAGGACAACGTGATACGGATTCTCAAGGAGGGCAAACGGTAATCAGCAGGCGAGAAGTAATCAGAAGAGTTAAAACAATTCAAGTGAACAACTTTACATAAAAAACTACTCTAAATAGGTCAAACCCAAATATATTTTCATACTTGTTTCTAGTCAAAAACAAAAGAGATACAAAAGAGTGAAGGAAAAAAACCCTTCCTGTCTTTTTTTTTCCTCACTGAACCAGCAAGAAAGGAGAGATACCTACAAAACTTTGTGTCATCAACGTTCTGAGACAGTCAGGTTGTAATCAAAATTAACAGTTTTACCATTCTGACTCATGACAGTAAAGAGACTGGAAAATTTTCCCCAAACAAACCAAATAAAACAAGAAAAGGTTCACTGTATAAAATTCTTATTTTTCTTCTGGCTCAACAGGAGCACAAGATACTCTGATCCCAGAACACTGTGTGCCTGGAATGCATTACGTGAAGCAAATGGAAATCTCACATGGGCAGCGCTGAAGGGTCAACTCCAGACTGAAAGAATGTAACCTTATTTTAAAAATAAATGCCTCTCGGGTGAAAAGAGAGTAGACAAGGGAGGGGGAATGACTTGACTTGATATGTACTGAAATCATGCCTAGCAGTGCCTAGTCTGAGAAAAGCTGAGCTGTTTAGCTTGATTTTCCATCTTGTGGAATCAACAGCGCTTTGCTCCATAAGGATGCCTGTTATGCCAGCAGTACTGAACATCGCCAAGTACTGGCAATGCTATGGACTAGCACAAAGCTGAAAAAAGGAATAGTTTCAATACTAGAAATAAGTATGGAATTACGGCTGAAATAAAAGCACAAAACCATCAGGAAAATATAATCCAAGCAACAAAGTTGCCTCGTGCTTCAACTGATTACATTGCCTTTAAAAATGCACACCACTATTTACTCTCTAGTCCTGAACAGTCACTGTGTTCTATCTTCCTTTAAAAGAAACCTCTATGAAAACGTAATGAAATCCATGGTTGATTTAAGACATTTAAATATTTCTCAACAAGCTAACAGACACATATAAATCAAAAAGAACAGTGATGCTCAGTCATTTGTGAACAACAGATATTTACAATAGCATTACATGCAGAACAATAACCTATTATTCAGGCAAAGCTGAACAGAGCAGCAGTAATCCTCCTATTACATTTGTAGAAAGAGACGGATATCAATGTTACAGTACCTCTGTCTTCAAGTGGATTGCTAGCAAGGTTGATCGTATGGAGTCCTGAGTTGGGATTATGGGCTAGGGCACTGGCTAGTTTCTGTGCAAAATCTCTGCAAGAAAAGGAGAGAGGAAGAAAGACTCCTGTTATCTATTGTATCAACAACACATTCAGAGGCTTAAAAATGTTGAGGGATTGCTAGACAGAAGTGACCTATCCTACAGCTGAGCAGTAACTGATTCTTCAGAGTTTTAAACAATGCTTATCTGGCTAATTTGCTATCTTTCAAAGCAGAGTATTTTATTACTTATTTATTATGTGGCCTAAGAGACTGAAGGGAACTCAATCAAAGCTCAAACTGCTTTCAATAAGGAACTGAAGATATAAAATAGGGCTAACACAGAATAACTTAAAACTCAAGCACATCTTCCATCTCCTCCCAGCAGCTCTTTACCAACAGTCACTCAAACAGATGGGCTTTGCAGCATATCCAGAAGGTCAATAATAACACTTTTAAAGAACAGCAGCACGTTGATGAACTGGTCTTTGCTTGCTTTTTACGGTGAGAAGCATCAAAGTACATAACTAGCTGACCACAGTTCTAGCAATGTGTCCCGAGAGAGACGGTAGTATATCAGCTCTATAATGCTCACAACAGCCAGACCAGGTAGCACAGATAGCTTTGAACTCACTTTAACCAACTATGGTAAGCAGCTGTAGTGGCATGACCTACCTCTGTTCAAATCCATGGGAGAGACAAGAGAATGCCGCCCCATTTCAGAGCGTTTTGCTGCAGCTGGACTGCCACCACCTACCACCACCCACAGCCTTACACTCAAAGCTAGCTTGGGTTTTCTACACAACCACATTGTCAACTCAGGTGGAGACATGTTCCTTGAATTAAGTCACAAGGCTGTTGGTCGGTACCGGCTCTAAGACAGATCCTCCATCCTTGTACTTACTGGGAAGCTTTCACGTATTAAGGGATCAGCACTACTGTGTGCCTTTGTTAAACTGAGACTATAATTTCAATGTTCTTACTTCACCTAAGTTAGATACTGAGGTAGCAATCAAAAACATCCCTTAAACCTCCTTCACAGAGCTCCTTTATCTCTCTGCCTTGAAGTACAGTATCTTACCTCCTGTAGGCCAGTGGTGGACAGCTACCAACTACATTGCTAGAACAGTGCTAATTAACACCGCTGGTTTTCCTCGGGGCAGATCCTGCCTACCATAAAAGTGATCAGCCTGTGTGCTGAGACTAGCAGTGGAGGTAGCACCCTCTTCCAGTCTCTGGAAAAGAGTGGAGACTGGGCAGCAATAGCCTCAATAGCTTTTCGTTATCTGTGGTTGCAAGGTGTACTTGAGTACAGACATGTTCCAGGGAAGTTTAGTTTCCCTTTGAAACACCATTTCCTTAGATGTGCCCCTGGGGGTAGAACAGGTTCCAGTGCTGCAAATGCATGATGATGGGCTGCCTTTAGGAAAATCATATTCTCTTCTTAAGATACAAGCAGCATGTGAATACAAACACTAAACAAAAATAAATTTTGGGCTTGAATCTGTGCCACCTGACAGGCCTCAGGGTATCCTGCTTTGCTACCAGCTGCTGCTGCAGAAGACTACGTATCTCCTGTAGGCCCTCGGTTACACTTGCCAACACTCTGTGGATACCCTCCAGCATTTCAAATGGCACTAGATGCCTGTGCTTAGGCAACTGAATCGAGCTCCTTATGTCCAGCCAGGAAGGATGAGGTTTAGAGTTAAAAAACAAATATAAAAACCTTTCTTCATGGGGAGTTTCCTCCTCTTCCTTTATCCCTAATGGATTCCTGTCATTACAGGGTTCTGCCTCCACCTCCAGGCTTGCTGACAAACTCTGCTCCAGCTCTTCCCACCAATATAGGCAGGATTACCAGAACTTTTTGGACAACTGGTGTATATGTGTGAACTATTTAGAAAAGACACAGTAAATCCACTACCACCAGAAAGCTCTGGATTACCAATGTAGGGCACATGGAGCTCCAAGGCTCATTTTGGAAAAAAACAACACAACTTCTCCACTCCCTGTGCAACCTCTACCATAAATGGAGGCATCTGGGTGACAGCCTTTTCCCTCCTTTGTTTCAAGTCCTAAAATTTATTCCTTTATTTGGCTTCACACTTCCACCACAGTGCACGCAACATAAGCCTGACACTTTCTATAAAGCATCAGGCTCGCTCTGTATGCATTGCACAGCCACCCTTGCCTGAACTGAGGACATTCCAGCTTGGAGGCAAAGCCCAGAAAAGACCCACTGTAACTACTCATATGGCAGAGTAAGCATATTTCACCATGGGTAAGAATAGCACAGAGCTGAAAATCTCTGACAAACAAAACAATTCCTCAAGATCTGTCAAGACAACATCCTTGTAACACAAAGAGGACGCACATGGGAGGAACTAACACAGTTAGGTCTAAGGACATTCAGAGCCCACCCAGCACCAGCAGATGAGATGCAACATCAGAGGCTCTCTGGGTACCAGCAGCAGGTACCTCTGTTGTTCCCCCTCCATCATAGCCAGCCGTTCCCTTTGGAACAGGGCTGCAGAGGCCCATGCAGATGGCAGTAGGGATATTCTGCCCACCAGCTTTCAGAGGGTACCTAAGCACAACAAATAGATCACTTTCACACGCTCCTGCAAACAGGCTTTTGCAGACAGAAGAACCCATCTTGCAGTTTCATGGAAATTAATATTCTGGTTATCACATACTCCCCTGTTCCTCTAAAACACCTCAGTGATGTAACTCTCTTTTCAGGCTCCTTTGTTCAGGTCATCCTGAACTTTTCTTCTTTCGGGGTATCACCTACCTCAGTTAACACACCAAAACATTAGTGTTTGCTACATACATTAAAGCCATACAACGTAATCTAGACTGCACTTTAACAGACTGGTCTGTTAAAGAAATAGCAACGGGGATAAAATTTTCAAGAGCATCTAAACTGGCACAAATCTTATCAGACAGGGAGTTTCACTTGACAACCTGTTTTCCCCAACAACGAGTACACACTTCCCTAGTCCCGGGTCCTTACAACTACTACTACACAATAGTTTGCTGTCTTCGCAGCAGAGAGAATGACAAGTGTTTATGGGGCCATGGCCCAAATCAAATCACAGAAATGAGTAGCTGGAGGTAGAAAAGAATGAAATCATCTTAAACTGACTCTGCTGCAGAAATAAATATGCTCTTGCAGCTACTAAGGTATTTCTGAAAGCACTGCTCTTGGTAGGTCTTTCTTAACCCCGGTCCAGCAGTCTGTCACAGCTCATTAAAAATGACTGGTCTGTAAGCTATGTCAAGGAAGATACCCAGTAACAACAGGATTTCCTCCAAGGAAGCAAAAATGATAAATGGCAAAACTGAAAAACGCGTCCTTGACAAAAAAAGACAGACAACGCGGATCAGAGCAGATACACACCAAGGCAAAATGCCAAACATTGTGCATGTAGATGGAGACATAAAAGCCAAAGTCACAGGTTGATTGTCTGTCAAGTCCTGTTAAAACTGAAACCAGTTAATCCAATTGTGATAAGGTAAACAATGTGCAAAGGTAGTCAATGTATCTTTTAATATTAATGATTATCACTGGATTTCATGGCATATACTGCAAGAAAAACGAGATTAAAATCAGGGGCTTATGTTTGAATGACAGCTATTAAAGGCAGTGCATTAGTGATCAGAAAGTTTGGGCGTAATTCCAAACTCCACAAGTTTTCTGTGTCATTTAGGCAACTTTCTTGTAAAGGTATTTCAATGCAAAGCTCTTTCTAAAATAAGGGGAGAACAACCCAAACAATGAAAGAGGAAACAATGTAAAGCACATCAAATATTTTCCCGGTGTTTGCTTCTCATTTGTAATTCAATAGAGTGTTCTGCTTCTCCCACCTTTCTGCTGCTTTTTGATTAACAAAAAATTCATTAGCGCTAGAGTTTCTCATCTGCATGGTCTTGGACACTATTGTAACACTAAAACAAGGTACAAATACTTCCAGCTGGGCTAATTTGTAACTTGAACTTTGCTTCTATTTCCTGTGATAGGAAAAAAAGCAAATACCTAATACCTACAACTTACTGTATTTAAAACAGGTGCAAGGATTAAATTGTATGGTTTACCTCTATGTACCTTTATTTTAAGGCTACAACAAGGCATTAAACTTAATTATCTACTTTCTTGCTTCTTTAAAAGAGTTGCTAATGTATAAGTACTGTTATATTTGAGCAGACTGCAATCTATGGTAAGATAAAGACAGCTGTCTTGGGAATGAACTGATAATATGTTATGCAAGATGGAATAGTACACTTTTTTAACAAAATTTCAAACACTGTTTTTTAAATGATAAAAAGGTGTTCATACTTCTATTGACAACCATATTTGGAGAGGAATAGCATCAGATGATTTCGGGTTTATGCTGTTATCCAATCCATTTTGCTCTACTTAACCCAACTCTCTAGGCAGAATCTTAAAAAAAAACAGTTTAAAGGGATTTCTTGGACATAAGGGACCTCCGGAAAACCTGATAAAAAGCTTGTGACTACAGGCTCCTCAGAACAAGGCAGACATCGAGCACGAGCTTTTTTAATGGTTATTCTGGCTAACACAGAGCACACATCCTTTTTGCTGGGAGTAAGCAGTAACTAATGCAACATTTCAAAGGAATTACTTACGTTCTAAGCCCGGCATTCTCTAATACCAGCTCTTCCAATCGATTGGACCTACTCACCACTCGCAGTATCTGCTCACAGACATCAGTGGACTGCCACAGAAAAGACAGAACAGTGTTAAAGAACACAAACATGGAACAGACGGTTATTGAGTTATAAGCTGTACATCGTAATGGGGTCCAGGCCATGATCAGCTTTTTGTCATACATAAATAGTAAGAATACCACGAACATCCCAGAGAACGAGTCAGATGGCAACAGAGGACTTCTGGAAAAGACTCAGGGAAGTGAGAGGCAGACTAAAAACAAGTCATTTATGAAGCTGGCCACCTAATCATAGGGGGCAGAATTTTCATCATGATACTAAAAAATCCAAACCCTGTAATTCAGAAAAAATGCTCACTTATTTTTAAAGAAATCTTGTCCAAATGCGTGCTAATCCTTCAGAAAAAAGTGGCAACCAGTGCAAAGGATAATAAAGCCTGACCAGGAATAACAACTAAAAACAAAGAAAGATGTTATAAGGCAGACAAAAAACACCCCAAAAAACTCAAGAGTAAAAGCCTTTTAGCTACAGGTCCTCCAAAGACTGCTAAGGACTAGGGCTTAAGGGTCAGTCTATTTCAGTACGAATTCTCCCAGCTTACATAGAAGTAAATCCTATCTCATGATTTTACTGCTGTTGGTTTCTAGAATTTGCATGGACATTTGCAAGTACCATGAACAAAACATGGTAACAAAAGAGTTTGTTCGCTGTGCTTGTTCAAATAGAGAGATAAAACCTTAATGATTCAAAAGCCATACAGTGAACTCTGTACCTCATCACCTTTTATTATAATCTTTTATTTCACTTCTGGATTTGCCTTTTTTTTTCCTGCCTCACAGCATGCACTGACCAACATTCATGTGAACTCCAAAGCTGAATTTCAGTTGTGATTATGAAGTCCTGAAACTATTCTGTTATCAACTTTTAAAAGCAACTTGACATTCATACCTGGGACGTCTGTGTCTTTAATGACAGTCTGACTTTCTCTAGGATTTTTAAATTTTAAACTAACTGAATCTCCTAAAAAGAAAAAAAAAAAAACAAACCCTCTGATCTACTACACACATAAAAATCTCATTAATCCTTCACCCAGTAAAGGCGACAATTTTTTCTAAAGACTGTCAATTCAGCCATATTCCCAATTCTACCTTTGCCTTTCATATTTCAATAATTCAGCATATTACCACAATGCTTCTACAGCAGTCTGATTGCAAGTGGAAAGTTTCATGCATATACTGTAAAAACACTATGGATACCATCTATCAAACACAATGTCAGAGCAGGACTCATGAAGTACAAAGCATTCAATGGCCTCTGGATATGTCTGACCTCATACTGACCCTCAGCAATGTTCCTATGACACAGATTTACTGTCCAACAAATTACATTTTCTTGGTGTTTTTGACTGAAACTGGAATGCATGGAAGATAAAGTCTTTCTGGTTTGTTTGTGGTTTTGTTTTTGTTTTTTTAAAAGGAATTGGTGCATTTTCAAGGTTGACAAAGTTTGTTTTCCACACAAAAGTTGCTAAGAATTCCAAAAAGCTTTCTCATAAAACTAGCTCAGACAGATAATACAGCCAGTTCTTGTCCTAAGCAAACTACATCAGCCAGTCTTCTAACTAAGCAAACTCTCTCATTTCATTGAAGCAGAAACTGATTAATTGTATTGTACCTTTTAACAATGGTGATTTTAACAGCAAACTACATCAGGATTAAAAATACCCCCAGTTTCACTCCGTGCACAATTCCAAGTAAGATGTCCCAGCAAGAAAGAAAAGTTTTTTGCCTACTCTTCTGCCAAGAATCACATTAGCTAGTTGCTACTGAATCTCATGGAAAGCAATAGCTTAGGAATGCAATAAGAGCATTTTCAGATCAATAAAATTGCATCAATTTAAACAAGACGAGACTCAACTTCCATTTTTAAGGATAAAAGCTTTGGGATGTAAGTGTGAAAGCAATTTTCTCAAATCACTAACTCCACCTGTGACTATAAGCTTTCAAGTTTAAGTACATTTTAACATCTTTAAAAAGTCACCTAATTACTGATTTTCTTGGCCCTTTTTTTAAGTAGTCCAGTAGATTTGCCTCGTTTGCTTTTCAGAAAGAAAACCTGATGTAGAAGAGTATCAATGTCACACATCAATACATACTTATTACTACACAGGGTTAACTTCAGACAACTGGAAGAAAAATTCATCAAGTTGCAATGAAAATTAAAGAGGAAAAATCTGCTTTACATGTGAGAAAAAAAAAAAAGAATCCTGATATTTTCTTTCCACCGCCAAAAAGCAACTGAGATTTCTGGCTGCTTTAGAGATAGTTTCCTATTTAGTCACCCGATATTGTTTGAGGGAGCTAGCAACGCCTGACAAAGTAGTTTTATGGGCTACTGTTATTGCCCAACAAAGTTTTCAAACTTTCTTCACTTGAAATTTTGACAAGACCTGACTCTTGGCAGTGTTTCTATCGCATGAATGGGGGGGGGAATAAAAATCAATAGATTGCCCATTTGTACTTGCCTAAAAGAGTTCACTCTGAAAAATGCAATAGCATCCTCTAAAACATAGCACAGCCTAATAGGAGCAGGTATACTTTTTCAATTTATTACTTACTAATTTCAGATCCTTGGAGGACAGCTTTGTAAACCACTGATTATACTCCAGAGCAGCAACTATAGGTATTAAGTCTCTAGAAAAAGAAAAACACTTTTACACACATTTCATATAACTGTCGGCTTTGGTTATTTGAAACAATCTTTTAAGTGTTCTTCCATATCTAATTCCCCATGCTTTTGCAATGCTAATTGACTACCATTCCCATCACAGAAAGCTCTGCATTCTAAAAAATGAGCATCACCAGCAGCTGTATGTCTTTCTCATATTTTAATATAAATTTTTGACTGGCCAACTGTCATCCATTCTAGCATGAATTTTTAAACCCTGAATTTGTCTGGGCTGCCGTTCCTACTTTAAGCATTACTTTTTCTTCAGCCTGTGACATATTTAAGCTTCTTAATCACCTCTAATTATAATTGAGCATGACACTAAAAAGCTTTTTGGCAGTCTGATGATTTAATATAAATCCATGACTGAATGCTTCTAAAAAACACCTCCTTGTCTCATCTCTATAGTTAGATTCCCCCAGGAAGCAGGAGACCTGCAAAAGGATAATGCGACTTTCAGCACAAACCCTCCTTAATTGTAAAAGGGATTTCACAAATGAAATTCTAAATTATTCCCATTTTCTTCATTCCAAGCCTCTTAATGTGATCTGCTCTCCCTCTGTTGAGTTTCTCCAATAACAGACATTGATAAATGTCATGTCCGTACACTACCCCCCAGCAGAATCATCCATCAAGCACTAGCATAGTATTTAGCAGTGCAGCACTTGGATCATTTTGACACAACATATTAAATATGTATATACATCTACACTTGGACTGTACTTAGAAAGCCCTTGTCTTTACAGAAGAGCTATAACATACATGAACTTATCTGACCAGCAAAAGAGTTCCATCCGAGCCTCCATTTTACAGGGAGAAATTTAAAAGTATTGGTTTTTATAAGCTAGTCCCATCCTTCTCAGCATTTCATTCAGGACATATGCAGGTAGGCACAGCTCTGCACTAAACAAGCAGCACCCTTCTCACATCTTTTGCTTCTTCCTCTCCTTCACTTTTCCTCCACGAACATTTAGGCACTTTAAGGGTGATTGTTAAACACGAAGGAAAGCCAGGACACAAAGCAACATCATATGGACAAGCCTTCAGCAGGCTATATTGGGAACTGCAGTCACTAGATTTGGAAGTACAAGCCCATCACTAAGGTAACAGTAAGAAGGTGCGGCATTTTGCAGCAAAAGACTGTAGCGCACCAACTGTAAAGCTCATGCAAATAGACCGTTTTCACACTCCTGCAGAGGAACTAGTGTGCGGTGCCCTTCAAGGATTAAGCCTGTTTTCCATCTTGTTCACAGCACACATCAAGTCTCATGGTGAATTTATTTCCACTGACACAGTAGAGTTATCAGCTTCATGAAGCGTATAGATATATTTCCGTCCACCACGTTGTTTCTGGTCCTACACACACACACTTTATCTCCATGTAAAGCAGTAACTGACGAGTGAAATGTTAGGGCACAAAAAAAACCAACCCAGAGGTACTTCCCTCTTAGGCTGGGCAGGCAGGAACCTTGCTATGGAGTAAGGAATGCCCACATAAAGGTTTGTTCCTCCTTTGTCTTCCCCTGGAGCCATCGGTAAGAAGGTAATGGATTAGCAGCTTTGATGTCCCTCTTGCCAGTGCCTTTGCCTTGGAAGCGACAGGAATGTTAAGAGTTGTTTTTCAGGTGTAATTTTGTTTTCTCCATCCAGTGGTAACCAGCCAGCCACAGCTGGTGGCAAATGCTGCAGGGCAAACGTTGAACAGGCTGATGATACCACCATCACACTGGTGGAGCAGTGGACCACCACCCCCAAAAGAGGCAAAGGCACCACCAGCAGATGTATTTCAGCTGTCAGCAGCAGCACCAGTTCCTCGAAAGGAACAAAGGAACAACGATTGTGGATCACCGGCTGCAAGCGTTTACACTACCAGGGAGCTGGCAGGCCAGCCTGGAGGGCTGGCAAAAGCTCAGTACCTTCTGGGCAGGAGAGTGGCTGCAGAGGCCATCCCTTTCTCCCCTCTCCTCCCCAGGCCTTGGAGGGAAACGGCCGAGGGACAGGGAGTGGTCAGAGTTAGTGGGAAAACCATCACACTTTCAAGAAGTTAAAAAAAACATTGCTGCAGCAGGACAGGAATATTTTGAAACAAATTGACACAGATGTGCAAATTCTCATCTTTAAATAGTTTAGCCTTCCACAGTATTCAAGGCGTGTTTGATCAAACCCTGGACAAGGACAGCTACTGGCACACTTCACTAACATCAACTGCTAACCCCCGCAACACACACGCACCCTTCCTCCCCATGTGCCTGAAGACAGTGGAACCTTTGCCCATTCTGCAGCCGCCTTACTGTCTAGAAATTTCCCTTTGTCAGATTCTACCGTCCGATTTTAAGGAGAAACTACATAGTTAGGCTTTTTTTCATTTTGTTCAAATTTTGGAAGGTGCTTGTGACCAATAATGGTCCTTTAGGAATTTACCCCTACTCCTTTTCTTGCTTTGAACTTGTCTAACCTCATTGCACTTGTTACTGAGTTTTCCTTTTCAAAATTATACACTGCTTTATTCACTTTATTCTATTAAATTCTAGATACGGTACTAACAATGGTCTGAATTCTTTTGCAATATGGTATGAAAGAACGCTAACGACCATTTCCAAAAGCAGGACCTTCTCATAACTTTCCCTCATTGAGTTATATTGAGTTGCTTATACTTACTAGTTTCTTTACTAAACTACCATCCAGAAAAAAGTAAGATTTACAAAATGTAAATCTGTGCCATCTTAAAATGGAACAGATTCTGTTCTTCCAGAATACAGAAAATCTCTCCAAGCTTCAAAAACATTCAAGCTTCACTAATGCCTTCACTTTTTTTTCCCATCATCTCTGTCCCCCAGTGTATTTCAGATGGCAAGAAATCTACACAGGGCAATGAAAAAAAAAAAATCTAACCAATCATGCTTTTCTGACCATTTTTTGAATGTCCAAATATGCTAAAACATGCCACACAGATGAAAATTATGCTACTGAGTCTCGTTCACTTTGAGCCCCTTTTTTTTTTTTGCTAAACAGTTATATGGTTCACAGCACAACGTAACTTCAGATAAAACCTCAGAAGTCATGTTCCCATGTGGCAAGCCATACTATGCACTCTAAGTGTCAGACACTCTGGGAACTTAAGTTCATCTATAATTCATGCCATCTTAGGTTGACCTCTAACAGAAATGCTTTACTAGGAAAACCACAAATTGTTTATTTTTGCAATGCATAGCCCCTGTATCTAGAGAACTGGTGTACCCATCCTACCTCGCTTGAGAGCTAATCCACAACATGAAGTATACAGTTTAAGCAATTCCAAAAGTTAGGTGGTTAGATATACAATAGTCTGTCAAAATCCAAAGCATGACCACATATTGTTAATTCATAGTACTCTCACTGTGCTAAATATATCACAAAACACTCACATACGTTCTGGAATTGACTGGGATCTCAGATCCTAATTTGTAGTTTTAATGACTAGCATAAGGTTTGGGCTTCCTAAAAAAAAATTAGTTTTCTTGAAATTTCAATCCAAAACCTTTTTCTCAGTTCAGTCCTCAACACGTAGAAACTCATCACAAGATGGATTCCACAGCATGTAAATGGCTCCAAAATGATTTTGAATCTTTTGACTTATACAATCCTGAGATATTTAATAAAGACTTTTATTAACAACACAAATATATTTCCTCCGTGATGTCAATTTTGTAAGGTATATTTCAATGAAAAGCTTCTGTGAAGCAACAAACCTATTCCATTTTCCAAAAGCCAACTCATTTGAAGCAGCTGAGATATTCTAAATACTTAAAACACTTCTTTTATCTACTCTCTCCTACTAATATTTTTCATTCCTACAATAAATTGTTCAAATATTTAATTTCTATTGAAGCTGGGCATCTGCAAGACACTTTCTCTAGAATGCCCCGTGGTCTTCTCAGCACTTCTACCTTGAAACATGTTTAAAGTGTTCTTATGTTCTTGTCCCACGTTTGCTCGTGCTGAATAGTATTCATTTCCTTATCTTCTCTCAGCAAGGCTAAACCAACCAATCAGTCTTTGGCTACACCCGTCGTGCACTAGTTGCAGCCCTGTAATCTTGTTTGAGTTACTTCTGAATTAGCCAACACAGGTACAACTTTGCCATGGGAATCAGTGCAGACTGTGAAAACCCATCACAGAAGCTGAGTAAGTATTTGAGTGGGGTTTGTTGCAAGTTTACATACTAGATAGCTTAAAGCTGCACAGAATGCTGGCAAAATACTCTTATTTACCTACCTCCAAGTTCAGCCTTCTTGTTACAATATTTTAGTATCGTATCTCTGACAGATTCTTAATTCTTCCACTGGGCTTTCCCAAAGAAACAAATGCTCTCTCTATTTTATTTACAGTTTCTTAAATTTGTCATTTTCCTTGTATAATGATGCATTTTAGTTAAGATTTCCTCCCATTTCCTCCTACTTAAGTATCTTCAGATTCAACTTTCTTAGAATCCAATTTTCTCAGCCAGCTAAATTCAGTAAACCAAACACAACACTTAGCTAAGTTTCAGCATCTCATAGTAAAATTACCCTCAATTAGTTCCTTTCTGGAAGTACACATTTTTGATAGCATCTATTGTAAGTGGAGAAACTACTGGCTGGGATTCAGTTGAACAACTTAAACCTTCTACCGACTTGCTGACAAAAATAATTTCCTTTACTGTGTACACCATGAGAAAAACATTCTGCAGAAGACTGCATGAGTTTCTTTTTCGCTTTGCCCACCAGATGTAGTTGCCTGTCTTCTCTGCTGAATTTGAGATCTTATATCTGCCATCACAGGAAAAGTATCTATCTGCTAACTTTTTGGAGTGCTTCCAATAGCAAAATATATCTTCTCAGGCTCCTCAATGAAATGCGCTCTCCATGGGGCTTTCATGCAAAAACAGCAGCTTTGGGCTGAAAACTAAAGACACTACAGATGGTCATTTCGGAGATCTACACATTCAGGTAACAGTTATGGGACCATCCCACTTCAGCAAGGGCAGGCAAACCCTTTTGCGAGGGGGAATAAGGAAAGTTTGCAAAATATTAACATGATTACTGCATATTGTTTACCTGTGGTCAAGGTGGCTGAAGTCTTGCAAATTCAACTCTCTGGTATCTTGTGTTAGATAAATCGTATCGACATCCTGTTAAAAATATATAACCAAATACATCTTTACAGAACTGCTGTTTTTTTCCAAGTACTATGATTTACCTGCTCTTTCACCATTTGTACAGTCAGCTGAAAAGAGCTCCAGAACAAGACATGTACTTACCCACTGTACTTCTTCTCTATAGGGAAATCCAAGCCAATCACAAACACAGGCATACATCTGTGAAAAGCCTCCTAAAAACAACCCAAGAGTGTATTTAACATAATAGTAAAACAAGCAAACAAACATCTAAAGGCATACTAATACTTATACTTAAAGATCCAGTCTTTCAAAACTCACGCTCTTTTTCTCTCAGAAGGCTGTCCATAGCGCTGCTGAAAGAAACTGAGACACTCCTATCTTTGCCCAGCAGGTTGGCAAAAAAGCTTAAAATAGTGCCTTCACCTACCAATCAGAAGTCTGCTCCATGCTAATTACACCTTAAAACTAATTACACCTTTAGAAGCCTCTGCCAGAAATAGAATTAAACTTCCTGACACTGCAATTCCAGCCTTTTTATATTTGAGCCTTTAAATTCATTCTCACCACAAGGTCCAAGTTCTGCCACTGTCTGACTGTCCCACAGGGCCTGGAGATTAGCCAGTCTTTCTGAAGGCTCCATAGTTACTTTTTTCAGAATCCTCCTAGATGCAAAAGGGGGGAAAAAAAAAAAAAAAATCATTCATGACTTTGAAACTATTTTAAAATTCACAAATCTTTAAGTAAAATTTTAAATGAGTGCCTAGGAAGAATTACTATCTTTAATACAACTCACTTTTCTGCCTAAAAATCACACACATTGTGATATTGCACAGCAGGAGTAACATTTGTCTCTTTTTTCTTTTTAATGGTTAAGCATGTGACTACTGGAGCAACTGAGCCCTTTTCTATGACAGTATCACCCAAGCTAAGGAGACTTGTGGCCCTCGACTAACACATGGATGCCCAAAATAGGGCAGAGACACGGTATTACTTGTTACCCTGAAACTGCTGCTGTTTATACGGTGCTTTTCTGCAGTAGAAGCACTACGGTGCAAAGAGCCACAGAGCATGCTGTGTAGCTACATGTGGCCTCTAGGCTGCACCCTAGATACCCAGCTCCAATCTTTGTAATTTTGGTAGCGTTCTTCCTCCCCTAAACAAAAACACAGTCCTTTCCTACCTTTTAAGAAATTAAACCATCTCTTTTTGTGAATGACAGGACTGCCTCATAAACTCCATAAAACAAAGGGAAAGAATTAATAAAAGATATTAATAGAAGAAACCTCCTTCCCCCTTTTTCCTTGTTCTGGTCTTATATGATCTGCGTAACTCCAATGTCTTCATTTTGGAAAGTAATGCCACCTAAGAGGAGAGCAAGAAAACTGATTTCTTTTCCAGGAACCAAGCTCTCCATACAGTTACACCAAATGCTCCAACGATGTTCTCAAGAAAGCCCAGAGAAAACATTATAGGTCTCAAGACCTTCACAGACGTCCAAACACACACAGCCTTGCAGCCCTCTTCACTCTGCTCTTTTTGCCTACATTTCTCACATCATTACTGAGGTTTTATGGCAAACCTGCTCACAAATATTCACTTGTATGTGTGCTTTTTGAAGGGAGAGCTCGATCACCATTAAAGCAGTTAATAATACTGCCACAGAGATAAACTGGAAGTAAAAAAAGAAACTACTAGCTGGAGTTTATGAACTTGATTTCCTACTCCACCTACAGGAAAGGTGAATAATAAAGACATGCACCCAAAATAAAACATGCAAATTTAGCCTGACTGTTCACATCTAATGTCTGTTACAAAAGCTCACTTAGAAAGACCAATGTGTCCTGGAAAATTCTTTTGCACAGTCCAATTTCTCTCATATTGCTGAAAACCAGGAGCTGAAGAGAGGAATAGTAGAGCTGCATGATCTGGTAGAGTAATGAAGATGAGGCAAGGACAGAGAGAAGAAATAAAATAAAATGAAGAAAAACTACTGAGAGTTGCTGAAAGATGATAAAATTCAGAGGCACAGACACGAGAAAAAAAAAAAAAAAATCAAACCCAAAGACAAGAAGAATGCATAAAGCAGCAGAGCAAAAAAGGTGGAGAAGGAGATGTATGATCCAAGGAGCCAGTTACAGCATGGAAAGTACAAGACAAGACTGCCCAGGGCTCAGTTTTGAAGAACACGGCTCCCGATTACGTGCATCACTTCACAAACACTGAAAGTAAACAGAACTTTTCCCTCTTCTCCCAACTCAGATTTTACTTCTGGGAAAAACAAAACAAAACACCCCACTGAATAGCACAGTTATTTATAGGGAAAGGAGTAAATTACAACAAAAAGCCAGAACCTAAGCTATGACTCAGGTTAGAGAGGCAATAAGGTAAAAAACCAAAACTTAAGACTCCAAATACCTTCCTCGCCCCTTCAAAGTGAAGGCTCTTGTGACCCTACAGGGCATGCATAGCCCACCTATGCTCTGCACTGCCTCCTGCTTCTGTCACATATCTGCATAAAAGCTTAGTGCTTGCCTCAAGGTGTTTCTCATACCCTGAGTGCATTTCTGAGGTCAGGGTGGGGAGACCAATGGACAAAAAGTGGTGGCTTGTCACCCTTGCTACACAATCCATTGCCACCAGAGGTGCCTTAAAAGACACTTACACTGGCGAGAGTCCAGGGAATATCTTCCTGAGGCAGGTCCCGATGTGCGCCAGCACCTCGTTCACATCTTCCGAAGATGCCATCTTCATGGAGATGCTGCATTTCTCAGTTTCCATAATCAACTGTAAATAAGAGGGCATATGAGGGCAGGAACTGGGTATCATATAACTCACATCCGTTTAAAAAGGAAAGTATTTTGAATGCCAGCTGAATGCTTTGCATGCTGGTAGGAATCTGTTATTCTTTAAGACATGAGACAACAATGCTCCAGGTAATGTTTCTGAAAGTTGTTCTGGAATGTAAAGACCCCTGCACTCAAAATTTGTTTTTCCTAACAGTGCCTTGCTTCCCATGGGAATAAAAGTTTCAAAGGATCTTGACTTCAGCTGACACTTTGAAAACCAAGAACTTTTCACAGCATTGTCCTCTCTTGAAACACATCCCAGAACACCAGGAGAAGCGAGTGCAGCCTGACAGGAAACTATTTAACGAGCAGGGCCTGCCTTCCTCCAGCAAAAAGTAAAAGTCTTTAATGGCTGTATCCTCTGGAAAAGCTCTAATGCTTTGATCTATGTAATTTAAGAAAATGTTATAGTAATATATTGTCTCGGTTCAGATGAAGGGGTAACTCAGTTAACATAACTGTACTGCTGTCTGGGGTATACTTGCTTCAGCTAGGGAGAAAAAAAAATAAAGCTTTTTGCAACTAATTTCTGTTATATATCGAGTGTTAAGGATCAAATCAGATTACTACATGACTGACATCAGGTCTGCTGCTGCTTTCAGCCGCATCACAAGAACCAATGTAATGTTTCTGTCTTCTCCAATGCGAACATTTAGCACAGCCCAAGTTATAAACTCTTTTAGATGAGGAGCTGTACATAACATTAGGAATAAATAAGAAGTATAGATAGACAATATGAGAGAGGATGCTGCATAGTATGCTACAGAAGATTGTTCTTCCACTCAAACTGGTTCCAAGGGCTCTTTTGGTTCCCAGTTCATGTCTAGGGTCATCAGCAGGACAACCCTCAAAGAGGCTCTATTACCCCAAAAGCACACTGAGAATCTTCACACATTTTCCTACCAATTCAGTGCCTTTCTGAACCTGTTGCTGTCACTCCCTGAAAATGAATGAGTGGGCAGATTACTACTGTTTTTTTTATTGACACCAATATTAACACAACACTTTCCTATATAATTCTGTCCATTTTTTTTCACTTATCTTACAGTGGAAAGCTCTTCATGGCTTTCTGCAAGACGTCTAGCATAAGACTACGTCCTTCAGGTATCAGGGATATAACACACTGTTTGCAGGAAAACTGCAACAATACCATTTGTCCCACAAGCAATAATCTGCGATACTGCCTGCCTTCAGCTATAAGCCTTACACATTTAAAACACAAACGAATGTAAACATGCAAAACCTTAAAATATACTTTAGGAAAATGGTATGCTAAGGGAAGCTACTGAAAATCCCTTGTAAACCCTGCTACAATAGTGATTGTCTCTGCCTCCAGGAATAATTAGCATTAGCTACCATGGCATTTTAATACCTTAAATAAATAAAGCCACAAAAACATACACAGAGTTTACTAAATGTGTCCTCATTAAAACAGTAAACATCCAGACCTTTTTTTTTTTCCTTCCTTTAAGGAAAGTTTCAAAAGCAAGGTTAAAAAGATGACATGTTAAACACAGTTAGAGCTTTTCAGAGTTCAAATAAAGTGTCAGGCGCTCCCATTTTTAAAAAAAGCTCTTTAAAAGCCAAACACACATGAAACACATGAAGACTGCGATACAATTGAACTGTCAAATCTTGTCAACACGTTCATCTTATGAATGAAAAACATATTAAAGCGATTCTTCTTTTCGGCACCTTCTCTTTGACGTTCACTTTTTTGGGCACATAACTTACTGTCAAATATATTTTGTGTTGTATACAGTAATGGCACCAAGAGAAGTTGGAAGCAAACCATTCTGCCTGCAATGTAAGCAGTAGCTTTTGGTTTCACCATAAAGGTATACGCCACAGAAGCCATTCAGTCTTGTGTGGTGACGATTATATACCAGCTGCCATTGTTCTATCATCTCTGAGAAAAATATTCACTTACAAGACAAATGAAAATTTGTACCATATTGAACAAGGAAAAAAAAAGTCATTTCTTATTGTCATCCCACCCACATAACACATTCCCAAAATTCACACTTTAAATGCTTATCATTATTGTTAAAATTTTAAAGCAGCATGAATGTAAGAATGCAAATGCAGAGTGTGCTCACTGGATGGGGACACCTGCACGTGACAGCATTACCTCCTTGACTGGAACAGATTTAGCACTGAGTAAACAAGTATCTTTTATCTAAAATACACTCACCTGACCCGGTTTACTGGAAGTTACTCCTTGGATTTCCAAGTAGCTGAAAGTTAGTTCTAACTGTTGTTAAAAAAGAAAATGCCGTATCAGTGTAAACGTCTTATTTTAAAGAGCACTTATGCTTTTCAATGAGGTTAAGAAAACTTTGAGCAAGGCGACTGTTACTTTACATCAGTTTCTGTAATTGACACTAAGTATTTGTTAATATCTTATCCAATCACATTTTACACTAAAAGAACACTTACATTTGCTTGTTACAGGTTCAAATAGTTATTAGAGGTTATAGGGATACCACATTGGACCTTTTACCGTAAGCTATAAGCACATAAGCTTATAATAAAATTTATGACAAAATTTTACTATAAAAAGCATTGTTTATACAATACCCTACTGATGTGTACTCTTGTGACTTAATAATTATTAAATACAATACTATAGCATCACATATTACTTTTTCATTAGTTACACTGATACCACAGACGTGAAAAATCTTACTGCACAGGAGCTGGAGGAACAAGCACACACAATTTTTTAATATATATTAATGTATAAATAAAAGTTCCATAGATAGATCGATAGATAAAGATAGCGATACATAAATGCTCAATATTGCTTTAGCATGTCTAAAAGTGTAAGAGCAAATAATACATCAGCTTTGCCTGAGTGGGGTTATCTGAACAATAGTCAGAATAGGCAGGGAAGAAGGATGAACACACTGAATCCACATGGAAGCTTAGAAGAAGGCGGGGAAGTCCTCTTCTCCAAGGACAAACCTAGGGCTACAGAGAGTGTGCTAAGATCTGAATTCACAGCTATGTAGACAAACATCTTGACAGCTGAGATACGCAGAAAGAAACAAACATCTTGGACTGAGTCATAACTACAGGCCAAGACATTAGCATGGTCATTTCCTTTTATTTATCATTAAAACCATTGTAACTGAGCAGTCTGTTTGAATTGCACAGTTTCCTGTACTTTATCTTTTCCTAGGTTCACAGTCAGGGTGCTCCCAGGCTAACTGGCAACCACCATATTATTCTACTTCTGTATTTGTGGCAATCTTTTTAAAAAGACGACCCTGAATGACTCCTGGGGTGCTCAGAACCCAGATGCAGCTCTCAAGACTCCCTCTCCGCAAAGGCTGCAACAGCACAAAAGTTGGGAATGTACCAGTTTCCAACCATAAAAGCCAGCTAAAAGATTTCCAGAAAGCAGCAAGATAGTAGGCAGAGATCCTAAGCACCAAGGTCTCCCGGGCAAATTTATAAGTCATGAGCAGTGTTACCACAGGATGAAGCTACCCAAAAAATTCCAGTTAAAACAGTTATGATTTAGAGTGCACTGAAATTTAGGAGGGTTTAATGAAATAGAAGACCACTTAGCTACATTATCCACTCACAGCTGCAGAGAGTGAAGATGTTATTACTGTCTATTTGTTCTTGATGTTCCCCATTTTCTGAATCATTTTCCCTTCAGTTGCCGTCATGATTCGACAGCACCACAAGATATAAGCACCCCTCAGCCATTTCTGTGCAAAGACCATCATCCACCAAAGACCTAGCTTGGGGACCAAACTTTACTGTGAAGTTTTTGAGGAGTCTTCACGTGCTTTGTTTCACTTGTTCTGCTGCAGGGACAGCATCCTGCAGTTTCAGACCACAGGGGTGCCGTCACAGCTGTTTACAAAGCGAGTGCGCGCAGGGAACCGAGGCAGGGAAGGCAGAACCAGTGCAAGCATCTTCCCACTTCCCACACTGGTGTCTGGCATTCTTCCAAGGCGTAAGACATTCACTTCTCTTCAGGCCTCTTCAGCACCTTATTTCTAAGCTAAGACTGGCAATCTTTTGTGATGATAGGACATGATCCCATGAAGTTTATTTGGGCCAGAAATTAAAAAAAAAAATCCATAGCAGCTCTTGTTGGCTACTGGAGTAAGCCAGCCTACAGGTATAGAAGTGAAAGGCTTTTTTTCCCTCCAGTGCTAGTCAAATTAAACAAACATATGAGACTATCTAACATTTGTTTACCCAAATCATAATGAAATTCTAGGGAAAAGTTTCTATGATTGAAATCCTTCCTATTTTGCAAATTATTTACCTACCAGATTGAAGGTTTTGCTTTTGCCAATGTACTTTTTATGTGCAAACATATACATATGTATACACAATCAAAAATATCTTTCTGCTCCTGAGAAAAGTTTACACAGATCCAGACTCAAGAATTTAATCTGCAAAAATCCTCTTGACTAGAATGAACAAACACCAGGAAATGTGGCAACATCTCTATAGTTCATCTTTGCTTAATTTTACTACTTAAAAACATGGATTTACAGTCCTTCCTTTGCAGCAAAAATATAGAATACATTCTAAGCATCATCTACCTCAACCTACGAAATAATTTTACAAGGTTTTAAAATGCATAATCACATTTATTACCTAAAATCATATTTTTTAAAAATCCTCTTAAAACGCATGAGTGCCTCTCATTTAGGGACCCTTCAGTTACCAAGACAGCTAATTTCACAGTTTCCATTTTTTTCAATCAAAACTTAATGAAAGCTGGCACTAGAAATATGTTCACAAACCTGAATTACACTCCCACAAATATTTCATACGCTTATCTGTGGGCTTGATGACACATCCAACATTTACTAATGTCACAATTATGTTTTATATAGACTGTAGCAAGGACTAGTAGGCTTTAAGTACAGTACTTCCTTTCCTATCAATCCACTTAGATTAGTGGAAATGAACTGATTGGACCTGAGTGTAAAGTTAGGAGGTGGCCATTGTAATATCCTTGCTCTACGGATAATCGTGTGAGTTGATATTATAGTTAATCAACCTTTATTCCTTTCAACTTTGATCCTTGTTTAGTAGATACATCTCAACAGCATTGTTTAAGGAAAAGCAAAGCTTGGAATCAGATGTAATAATAACAGTCACTCAGAACTGGCCATCTCTCAGCATACTCAATTTTGTGAGAGATCCCTGGAGGAATAAAGTGTCTTCACTGCATGTTCTCAACTGTCTGGCTAGCAGTGACTGAGTGTCAGTTATATGGAAGTTCTCGGGCTCAGAAAGCTTCTGAGCAGCTTTTGAAAATAGTACAGACTTCAGAAAATTCAGTAAGTTTCACTAGTCCTGCTAGAAAAGAAATTTTCTAGTTATCCTAATAATTGTCGAGATACACAAAGTTTAATTTTGACAAAAACCATGCACAGACACAGTTTCTTCAGATCACCTTTCTTCCATTTGCTATCACTAAAGTAACAATTTTGTTAGTACAGCATACTTAGTCTGGATTTCCATGAAAACAGAAACAAGTTTTTCAATTAAGTAAATCCATTTAATAAAAGGAGTTTTGAGAAGTGTCTGTAATGCTAAACTAGAAGTACCAGTATTCCGTAGTACACCAAGCCCTAGTCTTTAAGAGCTTTTTGATGCTTTGCTATTATTTAACAAGATCACCATCACCACCTGTCCATCATACTGCCGTTGCACTGATGTCTGAGCTGTTCATCAACTGGCTGTATGTTTCCATGCAAACAGTCACCAAACCCTGTCTTAAAAACAGGCTGAAAACTGCAGTGATCCAAAAGCTGACAGACAACCAACCAAAGATATCTGTGCTGCAGGGACAGGGTGATCAACTGAGGGAAATAAATTTCAGCAGAAATTCAATTTAGTCATCCTACCTGAGAGTCAGCGTCTTCAAATTATAGGTGAAGGACAGTCATGTTTCCCAGTGACCACAACTGAAAACCTGATATCAATCGTTCCCTATATTGATGCTGTTTTTTCTATAAAGCACATATATATACACACACACATACCTCCACACCCTCCACATACACATATGTATGTGTAAAACACAACAAAGCAGAATACAAGCTGAATTCCGTTCGCTGATTCCAAGCTGGACAAGAGATGTTCTTCCACATCAGTCATTTTCATTCACATGGTAACTATCTTTCTCTGCTACAATAATCGTTACCAATTGTCACAGGAATAGAAAAAATAATTCACCAGCACTGGCAAGGCAGATTGGCAAGATACTTTTCAAAACGAACCACAGAAATCATCAGAAAACAGCAGAATTTAATAAACCTCAAAATAATTTCTATCTCTAAATCAGATATATTCCTATTTGACACTACAAACACTAGAGGGAATAACGCCATCAGCTTGTTTCGACATAAACTGTCCCACAACAAAGGCCATCAGGCTCACCTCACAGTTCAAGTTGGCGTTTCCAACACAATTCTTCACCCACCTGCATTTCTAGAAGTTAAAATTCCTCTGAAACAGTATATACAAATATATACAAATCAACTTAAGACAGACACTAACAGAAGCATGACTAACTCAGCACCATGCAACATACCATTCCACAATATTATTTTTTTTAAACAGATGCACAAGTATAACATATGCTAAGTTTATGCAACTTAGTTAATGCAACTTACATTTGTATCTAAAAAAACAGAATATTTATAGAAGCACAGTGGCTTTACCTTGGTGGGAATCCGAGATGTTAAAAGAAATGCCCGACATGATGCCAACACCTATTGAAAAAAAAGAACAGAATTTGTAAGAAATATTTAATTTATCAGGAATATTATTAAAAATTCTTTCCAGGAAAATCCTGACACCAGAGGGAAAAAGCCTCTAGTAGACTGACTGTCGATTCTCTTTGCTGTCATACAGTGAAGGATGCAAAACTGGGCTCACATCCAGTAGATCATAGTGAAGAGACTGCTGCAATCTGACCAGCTATAAGCTAGTCAGTACAGCATCGAACTGAAGAAATTTATTCAATCAATCCCTCAAGAACATCTAATACCAATCTGAATGAAATTTTAAAAAAGAAGCAAGGATAAGAAGTCCTACCAGGCACATGATGTACTTAAATATAACAAAAATACACAAGATAAACATGATATTATAAGTAATGTAAGAGACCACAAGCAAACATTTTCTTTTGGACATACTTAGTGCTTTTCTACAGTAACAATGCAAAGGTTTCTCATTGACACCACCTGCATGTCTTCTCCAGCAAGGACAATGGAAAAGCATGATTAGATTAGTGAGACCAGTGACTGAGGAGAAAATAAGACAGAAGTTATTGCCAATCAAAATATAATGATATATAAATTACCACTCCAATCTCCAGTAGCACATCCCACTCACAAATTTTAGGCTTTGCAAAAGGGATGGCTCACTTTCCAAAACTAGACTACGGCTTTTTGATTTACCTGCCTATGGAATTAGCTACTGCTGCCTCCATCTTTTTCTAGACCAAAAACTGAAACAAACTTAATTCAAACATCTGGATCAAAATCCCACAGCACACGCAGATCTTTTCACACGGCTGGAACCTCCAGAAGCCAGTTCTGCTCAGTAAGTATCCATCTCTACTCCACTGCTACTCAGCTGGTATATCCAGGCCCTGCCAGACAGACCTGCCTGGTCCCCTTGAGCTCACACATGGGGGAGACAGTCTCTCCTGCTCTCCTCCCAGCTGTGCCCATCACAAGTATGCCTTCTGCAATCCAGCATGCAAAGAAAGGGGAAGGGTCAACCCAAGGGGTTTAACCACTGCACAACCAGAGTTTCCCCTGCCTGACAGCAAGTTGTTCTCACAGTAATAAAGCCTTGATTCTTTCCGCTCCCTCACGCGCCTCTTCAGGGCAGCGACCCACAGTAGGTGCACCATCACTCTCCTGGGAGCCGTTGGGGAGGATCACACCCCCAGTCACACCCCTGTGTGCTTACAAGAAAAGCTTCATTATCGGCAAGAAGAGTGCCCATCTTACCCACTGTTTCACCCACACACAACCTGCCCAGCTCAGAAGAGGGGTAGGTGATCAGGCACCCTCCCTGCACCAGCACCACCAGCAAAATGCCTCTAGAGCAGTAGGTAAAGCAGCTGCAACAACTTCTCCTCATCTGCTTCTGGTCACCACATCTCAGGTGCAGCAGTGAGAGTCAGGGGAAAGGACAGCTTTTGAAGAGCCACTTTCCATATTTACCTTGTAGGTAGCAGCTTACAAGATTAGAAAAATCAGTGTTTGTGTGTATGCCACCACAGTGGGACAGCTGGTTACAGAAAAATCACATCACAGTCGTGTTGTAAAACATTTGCCTGCATATATGGGTTCAAGTTACTTTATGAGCACTTATAGGATCCCTTTAACATGATTACAGTACACATGAGCAAATAACAAAGTTAAATGCAAACCTGGTAAGTAGAAGGCTGTAACACAGTTATGTTGGAAAAGGATGTTCCAACAGGGCACATCAGTGTACGTTTGTGCGGTAGAGGTACCAAAGCTCTCCAAGTGATCTCGCTAAAACCAACAAAGCTGAAGTACCCACTTACCTTAATAAGATGCATTTACATACAAAGGAGAAGACTGCTCTAAGATGATACTCCCCACTCAGCCTGTAAAGAAACTACTCTTGAACAGTAAGATGGTACAAAAAAGCCTGAGCCCTCTGACCCAGTAACACTGAGATTTCTAGTTTTCATAACAAGTAAGAGTTCGATTTTTACACAAAGCCAATTGAAAACAAGGTCAACTATTACTGCAAAATTAATGTCCCATCTTGACAAAAACAGTACTAGATTTGTTTTTTTTTTTTCTTACAATGGCAGAATTTGCAAAGAGAAGGCTTGGCATTTATCACAATTTTAGCTGCTAAAATCCATGAGTATGCACCGTGACCTTTGACAGAATCAGCTTTTGTTTACTGCTTTCTGATTTTTTTTTTCAATCTTTTCAAAATTTTATGCAACATCTGCATTTTAACATCACTATTTTTGTTCACGTTTAGCAACACAGTAGATTCTACCCCAAATCAACTTGAGACTTGTTGGATAAACTGCGAAATATGAAAAGTTTTCAGTGACCTCCTCCTCCTCACTTGTTGGATAAACTGCGAAATATGAAGTTTTCAGTGACCTCCTCCTTGATAAGGCTGCAGTGCATAAATAATGGCTATTAAGATAGCGGCTCACCCGTGTCTCTGTCAATAGGATTCTGCATGGTTGTTAGTACTTGCAAGGGCAACAGAACATACATTACACACTACTTAAAACAACGTAGCACTCTATGCCTTCCCTTGCGAAATACGATGCTGGCGCCAAAGACAGAGGCACCAGAGGTGTTTTCACACTGACAGTTCAAGTCCCCTTTTAAGCACTGAGCTGGTTTTGTGAATGAAGTCCCAGGTCTCCGTTGCAGTCCTCTGACATGAATAACGAGTATGTGCTTAATTGCACAATTGTCTAGGGCTTTCAGAAGTATCCAGGAGTGCTGGGTTTTATGAATAGGCAGATTCTAGATTTCCTAGGGTTTTTAATTTCTTCATACAAAGAAACTAAAAAGGAAAAGTGGCCACCAGTTACTCTCTAGCAGTTCTCAGGCACATTACAGAGAAGATTCTGCCACCATTGTACTTATTTTGCACCTGGAGAACCTTGACTACAGGACAAGGAGTGTCATGGTCAAAGTCTCTTTGAAAAACAGAGACTCAGAGGAGCAGACCCCTGCTCCAGGGACAACTCTGAACAAAGTGCTCCCTCCTCACAACCCATCAGGAATGTCAGCTGGGCACTGCGTATAACTTACCTTATCTTCTGACAAAAAAAATAATCACTTGTTCAGCTCAACAAGTCACAGCCCCATTCTTCCATAACCATTTTGTTTGGCCACAAGTAGTATTCAATCATTAATAAAGGTAAAAGGTCCCATCAAAAGTTAAAAACACATGCAAGGTAACAGAAGAGACTCAGGAGTGGATTCACACTTTAACACACCCGTAAGCCAAAAGGTTTGCAACTGACTGATGTGAAGGCAGCAAGCGCATCCAGGTGAATTTTATACAGGGCACATAACCTGGCTGCTGCTCCACGGAAGGGACAATAAACGAGAATTATATTTAGTTTACAGTAGCTTCAGTCTGTCTTCCTTCCCTGCCTTTTTTTCAAGCACAAAATAGGATTATCATTTGAATGTTAAATGACTCTTAGTCACACACAGTTATCCACCCAAGTTGATAATTTCTTAACGTTTTTATCACTCCAAATTCCATAACACTCCCTACGCTGCTCACAATGTACATGTAGCAAGTTAAAATTTGGAAATTAATTTGGAAATGTTCACCAAAAATATACCCTGCAAATTATTTCTCCAGAGACTCATGGCCTACAAGGTCATCTTCTATGTACCAGAATAAATAATTTGTTTCAGTAAATAAAATTAATTTGAACACAGATCCTCAGCAAGTATATCAACAAAACATAAACATACAGATGTATTTTGTGATTTATTGTCAAATTCTAGCCTTATTACCCATTTTAGCACTGTAATTTAAATTAACAGGGCTGCACTGGGTTAACCCAGCCACCCTACGTAGCAGTCAGTCTTGGGAAGATCATAAGAGCAACACAGCTCTGTGCTAATTGCATGTATTTTGCCAGACAGACCATAGCAACTCAAACCACCTTATCTTTATTTAAAGCGGTTTCAAATGCACAAGCAAATGAAAGAAATCTTTTAAAAATCACTACTACCCTTTTTAAAATTCCCAGGAATAAAGAGTTCTGGAAAACACAGTGAGCATACACAGCTTTGTGACTAAGTATAAAACAAAATGAAACCACCTCAGCACTTTATGGGCCCCAGGAAGTCGTGTGATGCTCGCTCCACTCACTAGCACAGATGTTTTGAAACTTTCCTCTGCTGGAATCTCAAAAAACGGATGGACTAGCCAAATGTTTTTCTCTTGCTGGAAACTGATTGACACAGATATTAAAAAACAAAAACAAAAAACCAGCAAAAAATCAACAAACCAAACAAAACCGCCCAAATTTAGTACTTTTTTGATCAACTGTTACAGTTTTACTGCTTGAAATATACTCTGATCCTTTCCTTCCACTGTAGTTTCTTTCCCCCCCAGCATTTGCCATTTTGTCAGCCTTAAAACTGCTTCAGTCTCCTCCACGATAATTTACTTGAGAAAAGAAGCATTTGTGACAGGTTTTCTTACTTGGATATCTATCATTTTGAGAATTTCTTGAAGTCCAGAAGGCAGTTGCTTTATTTTATATAAAGTTTTATGAGTTATACCATCCTTATTTTTATCATTATGCATTACCATTATTATCCCAAATATCATCATTATTTTTTAAGTTTCCAAACTTATTACTTGCTTTATGATTTCTACAATAAGCTTTCCATTACTACTACTGATTCAATATCTAATGTACACATAATAAGGTGAGGTAAAGCAGCAGCACTAATACCGTTTTTGTTTTGTTAAAATACAGATGAATCAATAAGTTAGTGCATCTAGTCTCTCTCAGTCCCTATAGGATTCGACCATTCATTTTCTGGGTTGCATGCCTGCATGTTGTAAATGCTCCATCCTGAAGCAACAGGAGTTCGATTAGATAAAAGGCCCCTTTCAGCACCATGTTAGAGATACTGGTTTCAAGCAAGGCGGTCTCTGTTAAAAGCACTGAGCCTCCCTACACAAAGAGGATAGCTGACATCCTGGA